AAGGCACATAACATCCCCACTGTATTGCGTAATCCACATTTTTACTTATTTTTTAATTCCGTAGATTGGGAAATGTGTTGCTTTCTGAGGTTGTTATTGTGGAATAATGCTTGTTATGAACCATGGGTATAAGGATACCAGCATATCCCTTTGAGGACCATTGCTTTAAGGTTCTTTTGAGTATACTAAAAAACGGGGCTGAGGTGTGGTGGCTCACACCCTGTATCCTAGCACTTTTGGGTGAGGCCGAGGCAGGTGGACTCACCTTGAGGGTCCAGGAGTTTTGAGACCGCTGGCAAAATACTAAAATACAAAATTAAGCCAGCGGGTGGTGGCGCATTTTGGGCCTTTGTAGTCCAGACTTTACTCGGGAGCTGGATGGGCAGGACGGAGAATCACTTGGAACCTGGGAGACAAGAGGTTTGGCAGTGGAGCCAAGGTCGGCCCCCATTGCACTCCAGCCTGGGGGGCAACAGAGCGAACTCCATCTCAAAATTAAATAAAAATTACACTTTGCCCAAAGTGAGTTCCAGGTCCACCAACACCTGAATTCCCCTTGATCATTTTTCTGCTTACAGAATTCATTACCCACACCGAGGCATTGTGTTTCAACAGGTTTCTTTGGGAAGCCCCAGGGGGGGCTTGTCCAACAACCTATTTATCCTTTTTTTTTTTATTTTTTGAGACAGAGGTCTCACTCTGGGGGCACAATGGTGAATCCTTGGGCTCACTCAACCTCTGTCTCCTGGATTTAAGCGATATCCCCACCCTCAGCCCCAAAGTAGCTTGGGATTACCGCATATTTGCCACAATACCGGTAAATTTTTGTACTTTTGTAGAGGGAAGAGATTTTCACCATTGTGGCCAGGCTGGGTTTCTCGACACCTCCTGGACCCTCCAGGGTGACATGCTCTCTTGGCTTTTCCCAAAAGTGCATGGGATTAAGGCGTGAAGGCCACAACGCCTGGGCCCATGGTCTCACCCATTTTTAGGATAGGGCAAAACTTGAAGCTCATTTTTGAGGCCAGGCCCAACAGCCTGGGCACCCTCATTCTTTTGGTTTTGGACCAAGTACTAATAGGAACGTTTGCACAAGCAGTGATGAACATTAACAGGAACCCTACCTTGCTTTTGGGAACTGGCAGCCTATGAGAGACGGTAAAACCTATAGAGCGTGCTAGAGGTATTAACGTGCTATGGGAAAAAAGCGTTGGGTAAGAGGATGTTTTTTACCATTAGGGTGGTCAAGGGAAGGCCTCACTGAGAAGTGGACTTTGGATGGAAAGAAAGACCTGGAGAGGAGAGGAGGAGCATATCTTTTGGGAAGGACGAGCCAGAATGCAATGGCTGGTGGGGTGGGAGACGTGCCTGCTGGTGACCCTGTGGGCTTTCAGGGGTCATGATGAGCAGCTCTTTCCTTTTACTACTGAGTGATGATGGGGGCCACAGAGGGCTCTGGCAGGGCAGGCGGCAGGCTGACATCACCAGGATGGTCTCGATCTCCTGACCTCGTGATCCACCCGCCTCGGCCTCCCAAAGTGCTGGGATTACAGGCTTGAGCCACCGCGCCCGGCCAAAGAGTACCATCTTAGCCATTTTTAAGGGTACAGTTCGGTGACATTAAGTACATTCATATTGTTACCATCACCTTCATCTTTCTTTTTTTTTTTTTAATAGATACGAGGCTGGCCATGCCACATGGGAGATGGAGTTATTGCTCAACTCAAATCACTCTCCACCACCATCCATCTCTAAAACTTACTTTTTTTGAGACGGAGTCTTGCTCTGGCTCAAACACAACTGCGAGTTGCAAGTCGGCCAACGAACTCGGCTCACTGTAACCTCCGCCTCCCAGGTTAAAGTGATTCTTCTGACTCAGGCCTCCCGGAGCTAGCTGGGGACTACAGGGCGCAAGGCCACTATGCCCGGCTAATTTTTGCAGTTTTAGTAGAGACGAGGGTTTCATATTGTCAGGCTGGTTCTGAACTCCTGACCCTCATAATCTGCCCGCCTAGGCCTCCCAAAGTGCCTGGGCATTATAGGCGTGAGCCCTGGCGTCCAGCCTCTGGAACTCTTTTCATCTTGCAGAACTGGAAATTGTATACCCATTAAACCCTAAACTGCCCGTTCGCCCTTTTCCTAGCCCCTGGCAACCACCATTCTACTTTCTTTTTTTTTTTTTTTTTTTTTTTTTTGAGGACGGAGTCTCGCTCTGTCGCCCAGGCTGGAGTGCAGTGGCCGATCTCGGCTCACTGCAAGCTCCGCCTCCCGGGCCTTATGGCCATTCTCCTGCCTCAGCCTCCCGAGTAGCTGGGACCACAGGCGCCCACCACCTCGCCTGGCTAGTTTTTTGTATTTAGTAGAGACGGCGTTTCACCGTGTTAGCCACTGACCTCGTGATCCGCCCGTCTCGGCCTCCCAAAGTGCTGGGATTACAGGCTTGAGCCACCGCGCCCGGCCCCACCATTCTACTTTCTGTCTCTGAAGTTGACTAACTACTTTGTATAGAATAATACAGTGTCTGTCCTTTTATAAGACTGGTTTGTTTCACTGAGCATAATGTCGTTAAGGTTCATCCATGTTGTACCATGTGTCAGAATTTCCTTCCTTTTTAAGGCTACATAACATCCCACTGTATGCGTAAACCACATTTTACTTATTTATTAATCCGTAGATGGAAATGTGTTGCTTCTGAGGTTTAGTTATTGTGAATAATGCTGTTATGAACATGGGTATACAGATACAGATATCCCTTTGAGACCCTGCTTTAGGTTCTTTTGAGTATATAAAAAAACGGGGCTGGGTGTGGTGGCTCACACCTGTAATCCTAGCACTTTGGGAGGCCGAGGCAGGTGGATCACCTGAGGTCAGGAGTTTGAGACCAGCCTGGCCAAAATACTAAAAATACAAAATTAGCCAGGCGTGGTGGCGCATGCCTGTAGTCCCAGCTACTCGGGAGGCTGAGGCAGGAGAATCACTTGAACCTGGGAGACAGAGGTTGCAGTGAGCCAAGATCGCCCCATTGCACTCCAGCCTGGGCAACAAGAGCGAAACTCCATCTCAAAAATAAATAAATTACACTTTGCCAAAGTGAGTCAGTCCCACCAACACCTGAATTCCCCTTGATCATATTTCTGCTTACAGAATTCATACCCACACCGAGCTTATTGTGTTCCCACAGTCCTTTGGGAGCCCAGGGGGGCTTGTCACACCTATTTTCCTTTTTTATTTTTATTTTTTTGAGACAGAGTCTCACTCTGGGGCACAATGGTGCAATCTTGGCTCACTGCAACCTCTGTCTCCTGGCATTAAGCGATTCCCCCACCTCAGCCCCCAAGTAGCTGGGATTACAGGCATATGCCACAATACCCGGCTAATTTTTGTACTTTTTGGTAGAGAAAGAGTTTCACCATGTTGGCCAGGCTGGTCTCGAACTCCTGACCTCAGGTGACCTGCTCTCTTGGCTTCCCAAAGTGCTGGGATTACAGGCGTGAGCCACCACGCCTGGCCCATTGTCTCACCCATTTTAGAATAGGGCAAACTGAAGCTCAGAGCCAGGCAACAGCCTGCACCCTTCATTCTTTGTTTTGACAAGTACTAATCGAGTGCCCACAGCAGTGATGAAACATACAGACCCTCCTGCTTTGCTGAACTGGCAGCCTATGAGAAGACGGTAAACCATAGAGCGTGCTAGAAGGTATTAAGTGCTATGGGAAAAAAAAGCGTTGGGTAAGAGGATGTTACCATTTAGGGTGGTCAAGGGAAGGCCTCACTGAGAAGGTGACATTTGGATGAAGAAGACCTGGAGAGGAGAGAGGGGAGCATTCTTTGGGGAAGGAGCAGCCGGTGCAATGGCTGTGGGGTGGGAGCGTGCTGCCCTGGTGGACCCTGTGGGGCTTCACGGGTCATGATGAGCACTCTTTCCTTTTACCTGAGTGAGATGGGGCCACAGAGGGGCTCTGGGCAGGGCAGGGGCATGGCTGAACTCAGGTGTTGGCAGGCTCTGCTAGCTGAACAGATTGTAGGGGCTGGGGTTGGGGAAGGGAGACCCAGGAGGAGGCTGCTGTGGTGGACAGGACCAGGGTGGGGGCCATGGGACTGGGTGGGGGAGAAGTAAGTGGGTTCTGGGCCTATTTGAAGGTTGAGATAATAGGCTTCACTGACAGATGGAGTGTGGCATGAGTGACGAGGGCGTCAGGGATGAAGGCAAGGCTCTTGGCCTCAATGTCGAAGGACAGAGGTGCCATCACCTGGGACAGGAGGGAATGTGGGGAGAGGCAGGTTTGGGATGAAATCAGGTCTAGGCGTGTGTGTCCACAGATATCTCGGTGGAGGTGTTGAGTGGGCAGAAGGATTTTCCCTGACTGGGTCCTGGGGGTTAGATCTATAATTCCAACACCTTGGAAGGCAAAGGCAGGAGGATCACTAGAGCCCAGGAGCTCAAGACTAGCCTGGGCAACAGAGTAGGACCCCATCTCTACAAAAAAATTTATTTATTTATTTATTTTTTTTATTTTTTTTTTTTTTGAGACGGAGTCTCGCTGTGCTCCCAGGCTGGAGTGCAGTGGCGTGATCTCGGCTCACTGCAAGCTCCGCCTCCCGGGTTCACGCCATTCTCCCGCCTCAGCCTCCCAAGTAGCTGAGACTACAGGCGCCCGTCACCACGCCCGGCTAGTTTTTTGTATTTTTTTTAGTAGAGACGGGGTTTCACCATGTTAGCCAGGATAGTCTCGATCTCCTGACCTCGTGATCCACCCACCTCGGCCTCCCAAAGTGCTGGGATTACAGGCTTGAGCCACCGCGCCCGGCCTACAAAAAAATTTAAAATCAACTGGGCGTGCTGGACAGTGCCTGGCTGAGGTGGGAAGATCACTTGGGTCCAGGAGTTCAAGACTGCAGTGAGCTATGATGGCACCACTGCACTCCAGCCTAGGTGACAGAGTGATCCCCCCATCTCTAAAAAGAAAAAGATTTCCCCTTTACTCTCTTTACTCCCCTAGGCTATGGGTACACAACGCCACTGACTGACGCGGGCAAGGCCTTCTCCATTGCCTTCGCGCTCCTGGGCGTGCCGACCACTATGCTGCTGCTGACCGCGTCAGCCCAGCGCCTGTCGCTGCTGCTGACTCACACGCCCCTGTCTTGGCTGAGCATGCGTTGGGGCTGGGACCCCCGGCGGGCGGCCTGCTGGCACTTGGTGGCCTTGCTGGGGGTCGTAGTGACCATCTGCTTTCTGGTGCCGGCTGCGATCTTCGCCCACCTCGAGGAGGCCTGGAGCTTCCTGGATGCCTTCTACTTCTGCTTTATCTCTCTGTCCACCATTGGCCTGGGCGACTACGTGCCCGGGGAGGCCCCTGGCCAGCCCTACCGGGCCCTCTACAAGGTGCTGGTCACAGGTGAGCTGGGCAGCTAGGGCGGGGCTTTGAGGAGGACCTAGCCCTGTCCCTGGGGGAGTTAAAGGCACACAGTACCACTCTGGGACTTCCAAAAGGGATCCAACCCCACCCCGCAGGGTCCAGTAGAACCACGGCCCTGCCAGGAAGATCTGAGCCCCAGGATGACCTATGCCCCTCCTCTGCCTCCACAGTCTACCTCTTCCTGGGCCTGGTGGCCATGGTACTGGTGCTACAGACCTTCCGCCACGTGTCCGACCTCCACGGCCTCACGGAGCTCATCCTGCTGCCCCCACCGTGCCCTGCCAGCTTCAACGAGGATGAGGACGATCGGGTAGACATCCTGGGCCCCCAGCCGGGGTCGCACCAGCAACTCTCTGCCAGCTCCCACACCAACTACGCTTCCATCCCCAGGTAGCTGGGGCAGGCTCTGCCAGCCTTGGGTGTGCCTGGCCTGGGACTGAGGGGCCCAGGCGACCAGAGCTGGCTGTACAGGAATGTCTGCGAGCACAGCAGGCGATCCTGAGGCCTTGCTGCCCACCGTCTCTCCTTTGTTTCCCAGCATCTGGCTGGGATGTGAGGGGCGGCACTCCCTGTCCCCATGTCCCGGGCTCCACTGGGCATCAACATGACCTTGTTCTCCATCCTTTCTCTCATCCTCTTTACGCTGTGCCTCTCTGGCTCTCTGGTGTTCTCGCTGTCTCTGTCTTTCCCTCTTGCTGTCTCTGTTTCTCATTCTCTTTCATGTTCTGTCTGTGTCTCTCAATTAACCACTCGTCAATTGCTGATTCTACCGGGCTCTAGCCTCGGACCTCATTTCAGGCACCAGATTGGTCACTACACCCTGGACAAGTGACTGACCCTCTCTGAGCCTTGATTTCCTCAGCTGCCAAATGGGAAGAATAGACGAATTCACCCCTAAACCCCTCCTGTGCGCTGGCCCTGTGCTAGACAGTGCTGGAGATATAGTTGGGGGTGGAGAACTGCCCTTATGGAGCTTGCAGTCCAGTGAGGTGGACAGACCTGTCCCCAGACAGTGATGGCCCAAAATGGGCAGGACTTTAATGGAGGAGGTGAGGTGATAAAAGCACAGGCAGAGTGGTCAGGGCTAAAGTCGGAGAAGCACAGGGACTAGGCCCAATCCAGCCTAGAAGGTCAGGGAGGACTTCCTGGAGGAAGGGACATCGAACTAAGACCTGAACTATGAGAAATAGGTGGGAAGAAGTTGTACCTGACTCATTTTTCTCCCTGGTGTCTCCAGGGAGCAGGACCCATGGAGGGAGCCCTGGTGTAGGCCTAGGCGGTAGACTCTTCCTCAGCAGCCTGGCAGGCAGGAAATGGACATAGGACCCAAGCCCAGATCTGAATGGCATGGAGGTGCTGCCCGTAACCCTGACACCATTGTAAGAGCTGTCCCCATTTGTATGTTGTGCTAATTGTATGTTATGCCCTGGGCCCTGGAATCATCCTTGTTGAGCTCAAATCCCAACTTAGCCTTATCTGGCCTGTGTCCTTGGGCAGTCACCCTACCTCTCTGATTTCGTTTCCTTATCTGTAAAATGGTAATCATCATAATACAGCTTCAAAAGATTATTTCAGGCTGAGTGTGGTGGCTCACGCGTATACGCCCAGCACTTTGGAAGGCTGAGGAAGGAGGATCGCTTGAGGCCAGGAGTTTGAGACTAGCCTGGGCAACACAGTGAGACCTTATCTCAACAACAACCACAAAATCTAAAAATTAGCTGGGTGTGGTGGTGCATGCCTGTGATCCCGGCTACTCCAGAGGCTGAGGTGGAAGGATCACTTGAGGCCAGGAGTTTGAGGCTGCAGTGAGTTATGACGCCACTGCTGCACTCCAGCCTGGGGGACAGAGTGAGACCCTGTCTCTAAGAAAAAGAAAAGAAAAGAAAAAAGAGAAAGAGAAAGAGACCGGGTGCAGTGACTCAGTCCTATAATCCCAGCACCTTGGTAGGGCCAAGGTGGGAAGATCGCTTGAGGCCAGGAGTTTGAGACCAGCCTGGCCATCATAGCAAGACCCCATCTCTACAAAAATTAAAAATTTTAAAAGGGCTGGGGCATTTGAGCCGGGTCCCAACAGTAGACAAATAGAAAAGGCATGGAGAGGGCATGCCAGGTGGGAGCAGCTGTGTGCAAAGGCCTGGAGATGGAAAAGCATGCTGGCCACCAGCTTCTGACAAGCAGTTTACTGTGAACGGTATGGAGGGAAAGAGGGAAGGAGGACAGAGGGGTGGGCACAAGCACCCCTTAGTGTCCTTAAATGATAAGCGAGGGAACCTGGTCTCTTTCCTGAGGGCCCTAGAGAGCCATGGAAGGGTTTAGAGTAGGAGAGGGTCATGGTTAGGTTTGGGTTGTAGGATGATTCCCCTAGTTGCTCTGGAGAGGTGGAACAGACGGGGGACTGAGGCTGGGTGCCTGTGGGAGGCTGGGACAGGAATGAAGAGGGAGACAATGGGTCTGGGCTGAGCTGTGTAAGGGAGGAGGGGTGGGTGCGGGGACACTCAGAAGCCAGGTGGACAGGCCATAGGCCTCACAGACTGGAGGAATGCGGCTAGGGAAGGGCCCATGGAGTGGCCAATTATCCCTGAGATGGGGACCTGGGAGAAAGAGCAGGTTTTATCGGAGATGCTGAGGCTGCTTTAGTATATGGTGGGTGCGAGGGGCAAAAGGGACACCCAGGGGTGTATCAAGAGGTCATAGGCAGGCAGGCCAGGTGTCTCACACCCGTAATCCCAGCACTTTGGGAGGCCAAGGCAGGTGGATCACCTGAGGACAGGAGTTCGAGACCAGCCTGGCCAACATGGTGAAATCCCGTCTCTACTAAAAATACAAAAATTACCTGGGTGTGGTGGTGCACACGCCGGTAGTCCTAGCTACTTGGGAGGCTGACACAGAATTGCTTGAACCCAGGAGATGGAGGCTGCAGTGGGCCAAGATTGCACCACTGCACTCCAGCCTGGGTGAGACAGAGACTCTGTCTCAAAAAAAAAAAAAAAAAAGAGGTCATAGGGGCTGGGCATAGTGGCTCTCACCTATAATCCCAGCAAATCCTAGCACTTTGGGAGGCCAAGGTAGGAGGATTGCCTGAGCCAAGGGGTTCAAGACCAGCCTGAGCAACATAAAATACAAAAAAATACAAAAATTAGCTGGGTGTGGTGGTGTGCACCTGTGGTCCCAGCTACTCAGGAGGCTGAGGTGGGAGGATCACTTGAGCCTGGGAGGTCAAGGCTGCAGTGAGCTGTGATTGCACCACTGCATTCCAGCTTGGGTGACAGAGCAAGACCCTGTCTCAAAAAAGAAAAAAAAAAAAAAAAGAAAATACTTATATTGGATATACTGTGTGCCAGACACGATTCCAAGCCCCTGATACAATCTCTAGATTTTACAGATGAGGAAAGGAGATCCAGAGATGTTAAATACTTGCCCAAGGTCACACAGAAAGTACAACACTGGGATTTGAACAAGGTTTTGGTTGGGCATCTTTTCCTGTGGGAGCTCAGAAATATCTGTTGTCTAGCCCTTTCTCAGCCTCCCATCCTTCTCGGTTCCTTACCTATGTCACAGTTGACTTTGAGCTAAAGTCATCTCAGGGCGGCTAGGTGCCTATGTGAGCTGGCGTCATTTCTCACTGTTTCTCCTTCCAAATACCTCCAGGAAAAAAAAGCAAGTCCTTTTCGGTCCAAGACATTAAAAAAGCCAGGCACAGTGGCTCATGCCTGTAATCCCAACACTTTGGGAGGCTGAGGCAGGAGGATTGCTTGAGCCCGGGAGTTGGAGACCAGCCTGGACATGTTAACATGGCAAGACCCCTCTACAGAAAATGTTAAAAATGAGCTGGGTGTGGTGGCGCATACCTGTAGTCCCAGTTACTCAGGAGGCTGAGGCAGGAGGATTGCTTGAGCCTAGGAGATTGAGGCTGCAGTGAGTCATGATCACACCACTGGACTCCAGCCTCGGCTACAGATCAAGACCCTGTCCCAGGAGAAAAAAAAGGTCCAGGCACAGTGGCTCACGCCTGTAATTCCAGTACTTTGGGAGGCCGAAGCAGGCAGATCACGAGGTCAGGAGATCAAGACCATTCTGGCTAACACAGTGAAACCCCGTCTCTACTAAAAATACAGAAAATTAGCTGGGTGTGGTGGCACGCGCCTGTGATCCCAGCTACTCGGGAGGCTGAGGTAGGAGAATCACTTGAACCCGGGAGGTGGAGGTTGCAGTTAGCCGAGATCATGCCATTGCACTCTAGCCTGGGAGATAGAGCAAGACTCCGTCTCAAAAAAAAAAAAAAAAAAGAAAAGAAAAGAAAAAAAGTGTGTACTAAAAAAATTCAACAGGTACTAAAGAGTGTATGGTGGAAAGTAAGTCTTTCTCCTACACTCAGACCATGAATGGATGTCTCAGTTCTTCTCAGGCACATTCGATGTATGCACCAGCCATATGCATGTGTGTGCCATTTACTTTTCACTCTACACAAGTAGTACCTAATATGGTGAGGTTGTTACGATTACAGACTTTAGAGGCAAGTTCCTGGGTGTAAATCTGAACTCCGTCACTCCCAAGCTAAGTGGCTTTGGGCAAGTGATTTCACTTCCCTGTGCCTCAGTTTGCTAGTCTGTACAATGGGATGGTAATAGCACCTACCTCATGGACTTGAGAAGTCAGCAACTTCATATCTGTACAGCCCTTAGAGCTAGCAGTATGTGGCACTCAATAAAATGTTGACTAATGATGATTCTTACTTCTGTAATATGCTTTTTTGTATCAATTATAAATATTAATATTTTAATGTCACTTCTCTATTATTCTTCTGTACCTTGCTTTTGTCACCAACACAGTGTAATTCAGAGATAATTTCAGAGACACACAATAGGTCTCTTTTCTTTTCTTTTATTTTCTTTTTTGAGACCAAGCCTCGCTCTGTCACCCAGGCTGGAGTGACAGTCACTGCAACCTCCACCTCCTAGGTTCAAGCAATTCTCCTGCCTCAGCCTCCCGAGTAGCTGGGATTACAGGCACCTGCCACTGTGCCTGGCTCATTTTTGTATTTTTAGTAGAGACAGGGTTTCACCATGTTGGCCAGGCTGGTCTCGAACCCCAGACCTCAAGTGATCCACCCACCTCAGCCTCCCAAAGTGCTGGGATTACAGGCGTGAGCCACCACACCTAGCCACAATAGGTCTTATATCTTATGGTGCCTCCTCTGGGACACATGTCCCATAAATAATTTCAACATCCCCTGTTGATGATATATGGGTGTTTTCCGGTATTTTGCTGGTACAACAATGCTGCAGCAAACATCTTGCGGTTTAAGATCTAATGAAGGCATCGAGTGAGGCAGGAGTTCAAGACCGCACTGGGCAACATAGCAAGACCCTCCCTGTACAAAAAATTTAAAAATTAGCCGGGTGTAGTGGAACACCAGCTATTCAGGAGGCTGCTGCAGGAGGATCACTCCAACCCAGATGTTTGGGACTAGCTTGGACAGCATGTGAGACCCCATCTCTGCTGGGCATGGTGGGTCATGTCTGCAATTCCAGCACTTAGGGAGGCTGAGATGGGAGGATTGCTTGAGGCCAGGAGTTTTAGACCAGACTGGTCAAAATGGTGAGATCCTATCTCTATTTTTTTTTTTTTAAGATGAAAAAAGGTCGGGTGCAATGACGCACATCTGTAATCCCAGCACATTGGGAGGCTGAAGCGGGTGGATCGCTTGAGGTCAGGAGTTCGAGACCAGCCTGGCCAACATGGTGAAACCTCATCTCTACTAAAAATACAAAAATTAGTCGGGTGTGGTGGCAGATGCCTGTAATCCCAGCTACTCAGGAGGCTGAGGCAGGAGAATTGCTTGAAATGGGGAGGTGGAGGTTGCAGTGAGCCGTGATGGCACCACTGCACTCCAGCCTGGGTGACAGAGTGAGACTCTGTCTCAAAAAAAAGAGATGATGATGAAAAAGAAACCCCCATCTCCTAAAAAAAAAAAATAATTTAAAAATAAAACTAATTAACTGGACATGGTGACTCGCATCTGTATGTAGTTCCAGTTACTTGGGAGGCTGAGATGGGAGGATCACTTGAGCTGGGGAGTTCGAGGCTGCAGTAAGCAATGACTGCACCACTGCACTCCAGCCTGGGTGAGAAAGTAAGACCCTGTTTCTAAAAAAAAAAAAAAAAAAAAAAAAATTAAAGGGCTCCTGTACATGGCTACCGAGGTTCTTCCCTTAGAAGACGTCACCGTTCCCTGGCCTGTGGGGGTGGGCTGGGGTGGGAAGGATAGACCGCCATCATCGGTTCATTTACATAAAACAACTATTACGTGCGGTGCCTGGCAGGGCTGGGGGACAACAGAGGTAGAGAAAGCCATACACCCTGCCCTCATGGAGCTTGTGATCCAGTGGAAAAGAAATACCCATTTCCAGCCATGAGTGGCCTAGAGGGGCCAAGAGGTGGGATGAGGGCTGGTCATGTATCACAGAGAAGACCTAAGGGAAGGAAAGTGGTGGGCCCTGTTAAAAAGCATGGAATGGTATTCCAGAAGGCATTACTGAGCCTGCACAGGTCTGGAGCATGCATGGGTCACGCCTGATCAAGGATATTCAAGTCGCTCCATGTGACCAGACTGGACCACAGAGGTCTAAGGGGGAGAGGGCAGATGAGCCAGATAGAATGACAGGGAGGAGAGTATGAGGGGCTCTGGAAAACGAGGGGTTTGGAAGTTTTCCTGAGGGCCTAGAGGGTCATGGAAGGTTCTAGAGCACTGGTTCTCAAGGTGTGGTCTCCAGACCACTAGTATCAGCATCACCTAGGAACTTGCCAGAAATACGAATTATCAGGTCCCACTCCAGATCTACTGAATCAAAAATTCTGGAAGTAGCCAGGTACTCACTCAGGAGGCTGAGGTGGGAGGATCACATGAGGCCAGAAATTCAAGGCTAACTTGAGATAGGGTATTGCTCTTTTGTCCAGGCTGAAATGCAGTGGTGTGATCACAGCTCACTGCATTTCTGTGTATTTCAGAGCTCACTGCAGCCTCAAACTCCTGGGCTCAAGTGATCTTCCTGCCTCAACCTCCCAGGTAGCTAGGATCACAGGGATGGGTCACCACACTGGGCTAATTAAAAAAAAAAAAAAAAAAAAACATTAGCAACAGGGTCTCACCATATTGCCCAGGCTGGTCTCAAGTGATCCTCCTACCTCAGCCTCCCAAAGTACTGGGATTACAGGTGTGCATCACCACAGCTGGTTTAATTTCTTTTTTTTTTTTTTTTTTTGGAGACAGGGTCTCATTCTGTTGCCCAGGCCGGAGTGCAGTGGAGGGATCTCGGCTCACTGCAACCTCTGCCTCCTGGGTTCAAGCAACTCCTGCCTCAGCCTCCCGAGTAGCTGGGATTACAGGTGCCCGCCACCGTGCCCGCCGCCATGCCCGGCTAATTTTTGTATTTTTTGGTACAGACAAGGTTTTATGTTGGCCAGGCTGGCATCGAACTTCAGACCTCAAGTGATCCGCCTGCCTCAGCTTTCCAAAGTGCTGGGATTATAGGCATGAGCCACTATGCCCAGCCAGAGACTCCATCTGTAAAACAAAAACAAAAATTCAGGGTGTGATGCCCACCAACCTGGCTCACCCAGCCCTTTAGGTGAGTCTAATGCATACTCAAATTTGAAAAACACTGGGTTAAATGTCTGGTCTGGAGTTCATCAAAAAGTCATGGCCTGAATCCTTACCTATAAGGCATCAGAATGCAAATGAAAATTAATGAATATTTTACTCGAGCCAGGCACACTTCCCACAACCGTGGGAGATGGCTGTCTTTGTCCTGTTTTTTAGAGGATGGTGCTAAGCACCGATTCACTCTCACAAGGTCTCTAGGAAACCACACTTCTTTTTAAACCATTACTTCTTTTTAAAGAAGTAATCCCACACTTTTTAAAGCTGTAATCCCAGCACTTTGGCAGGCCGAGGTGGGTGGATCACCTGAGGTCAGGAGTTGGGACCAGCCTGGCCAACACGGGGAAACCCCGTCTCTACTAAAAATACAAAAAATAAATTAGCCAGGCGTGGTGGCGGGAGCCTATAATCCCAGCTACTCGGGAGGCTGAGGCAGGAGAATCGCTTGAATCCGGAGCGGGGGAGCGGAGGTTGCAGTGAGCCGAGATCGCGCCACTTCACACTTCACTCCAGCCTGGGTGAAAGAGCGAAACTCCGTCTCAAAAAAAAAAAAATTGGGGTAGAAGGACAAGTAGGGACGGTGCTTGCTGCCAGAACAACCAATAGAAACTCCTTGAAGGCCTTCCTGGCATAAACGTTGTCTCCAGCACCCTCTGCCGACCAGGCCCCGCGCTCTGAGTGCTGAGACTGCCCCCGGCCCTAGGTGTCTTAGAGCTTGCGCGTTACCTTGGAGACAGCGTGAGTGGAGGGCGTGCCTCTGCAAAGGCGGAAGTCGGCTGTGGAAGTGTGGGCGGCCATTTTGAGACCGGGCAAGAGGGGCGGGACTGGTGCGGCCGAGTGACAGTTGACCGGTTTTAACCAAGTGACTGGTACCACGGGGCCGGGGAGAAAGAGCGGTGCCATCCCGGGGCGGGGGGATGCCGGGGAGGGGGAGGAATTAGGAAGGGGAGGGGGGAGGCGAGAAGGGGAGAGGCAGGGGAAAGAGGGGAGAGTCGTGGGAGCTGGCATAGGAGGGAAAGGGGGAGCCGAACGTGAAGGGCGAAGGGCGGGGCGGGGTAGGAGAGTCGGGGTACAAAGCAGGCAGGTGTTCATGGCATGGGAAGGAAGAGTAAGAAGTGGGTCAAGAAGGTGTCGTGGTACGAGGGGAAGGTGAGACTCAAGAAGGTGCCGGCTAAGAAGCTAGGGCCGGCGTGGAAGGAGAAGGTGTGGGGCGAGGAAACAACGAAGGGCAAGGAAAGATCCCGAGGCGAAGAGACAGTCTTCATCGAGAAGGGGCAGGGCGAGGAGGAGGGGCGTGACCAGAGGGCGGGACGGGGCGAGGGGCCGGTGCTAGAAGAACCAATCGCCGAGAACCCGGGGAAGGGACGGGTCCATAAAGACCAGGTGGAGAAACAGGGGCGGGGCCGGGAGCGGAAGCAGAGCGAGGAGCAAGCCCTGGGCAAGAAACAGGAGCCCGGCCGAAAGCAAGAACAGGGGCCGGGCCGGGAGCAGGGGCGGGGCCAGGAGCAGGGGCGGGGCCGGGAGCAAGAGCAGGGGTGGGGCCGAGAGCAAGAGCAGGGGCGGGGCCCGGAGAGGGGCAAGACCAGGCACAGTACCCAGCCCCTGGGCAGACGCCGAGCGAGGAGAAAGGGGCGATACCAAGAGAAGTGCGAGGGTAGGGCAAGAAGTTGGGGCAGAGCCGGGTGGGAGTACACGGGTGCGATCGCAGGCAGGAGCAGGACGGGGGAACACAAGAGAGGGGCTGTCAAAGCGAGAAATAGAAACCAAGGCCAGGTGAAGAGCAAGAGTGGAATACAGAGAGGGGGCGAAACAAGGAGCAAGGTGGAGATAAAGGAAGAGACGTGGAGGCGGGGCGGAACGAGGCGCAGGAGCAGGAGTGTGGCCAGAAACATTAGTAGGGCTGGGGTCCGGAGCAATAGCAGAGGTGCGATCCCCACGAGGGTTCCCAGGAGCAAGAGCAGGGGCGGGACCAGGAGCAAGTGCAGAGGCGGAGCCAGGAACAAGAGCAGGGGCGGGGCTAAAAGTCCGTGCGGGGATAGGGCCAGGAGCAAGAGCAGGGGCGGGGCCAGGAGCAAGAGCCGGGGCGTGATCAGGAGCAAGGGCTGTGCGAGGCGCAGAAGCGAGGTGAAGTCTTAGAAGGGGCTCCAGAGAGCTGTCCTGCGTGGGTGTTGACGCCTGCGTTCTCCAGGTTCTAGCCACATTATGTGCGGCCCAGCCATGTTCCCTGCCGGTCCTCGGTGGCCCAGAGTCCGAGTCCTGCAGGTGCTGTGGGCCCTGCTGGCAGTGCTCCTGGCGTCGCGGAGGCTGTGTGCGATCAAGGATTTCGAAGAATGCACCTGGCAGGTTGTCCTAAACGAGTTTAAGAGGGTAGGCGAGAATGGTGCGAGTGACCGCTTCTTTGAGCAAGAGCTCGTGGACACAGTAGGCAACTTGTTTCACATGCTGGTGGACTCACCCATCGACCCGAGTGAGGTGAGAGAACCAGGGTCAAGCGAACCAGAGGGGTTTTGAACCTGCATTCCACTCATTTCTGAACATGCGGCCGAACCTCTCTTTGCAGAAATACCTGGGCTTCCCTTACTACCTGAAGATCAACTACTCCTGCGAGCAAAAGGTGAGTGGGTGCAGCACGGATAGGCTTATTCTATGAGCCTTCGTTTTCCCATCTCTAACATTTTGATTAATTTATTAATTATTTTATTTTTTTTAAGACGGAGTCTTGCTCTATTGCCCAGGCTGGAGTGCAGTGGCAACCTCCGCCTCCCAGGTTCAAGCGATTCTCCTGCCTCGGCCTCCCAAGTAGTTGGGACTACAGGCATGTGCCACCATGCGTGGCTAATTTTTGTATTTAGTAGATACAGGGTTTCACCGCATTGCCCAGGCTGGTCTCAAACTCCTGACCTCATGTGACTCACCTGCCTCAGCCTCCCAAAGTGCTGGGATTACAGGCATGAGCCACTCTGCCTGGCCCACATCTCAATATTTTAATAGTGGTAGCCCCATCCAACCCTGGTGGCTTTAAGGATTCAAGAAGGCTGTGTGCAGTTCCCAGTAACCCACCAAGCACCTAGTAGGTGTTCAAGTAAGCTGCTTTTTTATTCCATTTGTGTGTGTGTGTGTGTGTGTGTGTGTGTGTTTTTGAGGTGGAGTCTCATTGTGTAGCCCAGGCTGGACTTCAGTGGCGCCATCTCGGCTCACTGCAAGCTCCGCCTCCCAGGTTCACACCATTCTCCTGCCTCAGCCTCCCAAGTAGCTGGGACTACAGGCGCTCGCCACCACGCCCAGCTACTTTTTTGTATTTTTAGTAGAGACGGGGTTTCACCGTGTTAGCCAGGATGGTCTCAATCTTCTACCCTCGTGATCTGCCCGCCTCGGCCTCCCAAAGTGCTGGGATTACAGGCGTAAGCCACCTTGCCCGGCCTTGTTTCATGTTTTTAAAGCTTTGAGTAGGATATATATATATAACTCACACACCATAAAATTCACCATTATTATTATTATTATTATTATTTTTGAGGCAGGGTCTCACTCTGTTACCCCATCTGGAGTGCAATGGCGAAATCACAGCTCATTGCAGCCTTGACCTCCTGGGCTCAAGTGAACCTTCTTCATCAGCCTCTTGAATAGCTGGGACTAGTTGTGTGCCACCACACCACCATGGGAGGATCGCTTGTATCCAGAAGTTCAAGACTAGCCTAGGTCAGTTTGGCTGGGCATGGTGGCTCACATGTGTAGAAATGCTCAGGCAGGAGCATCATAATGAACCTAGGAGGTTGAGGCTGCAGGGGGCTGTGATCATGCCACTACACTCCAGCCTGGGTGACAGAGCTAGCCCCTGTCTTTATTTTTATTAATTAATTCATTAATTTATTTTTGAGATGGAGTCTCACTCTGCTGTTGGGGTGCTGAGACCCAACACCAGGTCATGGGGGCAACGAAGTCCGGCAGAGTCAAAGGATTGAGAAAAAGACAGTTTGAGAGAGAGAAGTGGGACTAAAGAGCCATTGCTAGTGTATGGAGGCTGCGAAGGCCCGAGGTCTGGGAGCCCACGCTATTTATTGGTAATCCAACAAAGAAACAGGTGGTGAGAATGTGGAGGTCAAAAGGGCACACTGCATTAAGCACATGATTGACAGCTGTGATGGTTTAGCATTTGCTCTGCTACTGGAGATAATGGAGAGCAGGTTCTTTTAACTCAAGATACAATCAATCCTGGAAGCACAAAGAGCAAGAAGCCAGCAAGTCTAGACACATTCCAGAGCCACGAGCCCTGGATTCTATCCAAGCCACGAGGGATTTTATGCCCTGGGCTTAGATTATGGTGCGTCGGGGTAGCCTGCCACCCTTTAGCACGTGGCTTGGCATTCCGAAGGCCACAAGGGGTTTTAGACCCTGGACCCCGGACATGTTCCAAGACTCTTTTACATTATGTCAGACATGCAAGCCCTCCCTCAGCTTCTCCCAACACTCTGTGGCCCAGACCGGAGTGCAGTGGCGCGATCTCAGCACACTGCAGTCTCTGCCTCCTGGGTTCAAGAGATTCTCCTGCCTCAGCCTCCTGAGTAGCAGGAATTAAAGTTTTTAATTTTGGTGAAGCCCAGTTTATCAATTTTTTTTCTTTGCTTGTGTTTTTTGTGTCATTTACAAAGGCCTTGCCTAAGGCAATGAAGACTTACTCATAATTTCTTCTAAGAGATTTTTAGTTTTAGCTCTTACATTTAGGTCTTTCATCCATTTTGAGTTATTTTTTGTATATGTTGTGAGGTCCAAGCTTTTACATGTGCATATCCAGTTGTCCCAGTACCATTTGGTAAGATGATTCTTTTTTTTTTTTTTTTTGAGATGGAGTCTCGTTCCACCACCCAGGCTGGAGTGCAGTGGCATGATCTTGACTCACTGCAACCTCCACCCCCCAGGTTCAAGTGATTCTCCTGCCTCAGCCTTGTTGGCCAGGCTGGTCTCAAACTCCTGACCTCAGGTGATCCACCTGCCTTGGCCTCCCAAAGTGCTGGGACTACAGGCATGAGCCACTGTGCCTGGCCTGTTGAGATTATTCTTTCCCCACTGAATTGTCTTGGCACCTTCGTCAAAAATCAATTGAACATAAATGTAAGTGTTTATTTCTGGACTCAATTCTATTCTAAATGAATTGATTTCCTCAATAATTCATTGCTCTAAATGCCTATTCATATGCCAGTACCACACAGTCTTTTTTTTTTTTTTTTTTTTTTGAGACAGGGTCTCACTCTGTCACCCAGGCTGGAGTGCAGTGGCATGATCTCGACTCATTGCAGCCTATGCATTCTGGGTTCAAGTGATTCTCCTGCCTCAGCTGCCCAAGTAGCTGGGACTACAGATGTGAGCCACCACGCCCGGCTAATTTTTGTATTTTTAGTAGAGACAGGGTTTCACCATGTTGGTCAGGCTGGTCTCGAACTCCTGACCTCAAGTGATCCACTGGCCTCAGCCTCCCAAAGTACTGGGATTACACAGGCATGAGCCACCATGCCCGGCCTACACAGTTTTAATTACTGTAGCTTTGTAGTAAGTTTTCAAATGGGGAAGTTTGAGTCCTCCAACTTTGTTCCTCTTTTTCTAGATTGTTTTGGCTATAGTTAATTGTTTGGGCTCTGAAGCCAGGCACGTAATAACTCTGTGTTCTTAGGCTAGTTACTTAACCTGTCTGTGCCAAAGTTTTCTCATCATTAACAAGGGTATGGTAATAATGATATAGTGATTAAATGTGTGTAAAGCATGCATAGTACCTGGCTCATAGAAAAGGCTCTGTGTGGAAATAATACCTTTTTCTATTCACTCAACACCCACTGTGAATTAGGCCCCCTTTTATTTCAGATGATACAATGGTGAATAAAATGGTCAGGTTTTTCTTGTGGATTCAGTTGTCTGGGGAGGCAGATAATCAGCAAGTAAATGCATTAAAAATGAAATAATAGGCCAGGCACAGTGGCTCATGCCTGTAATCCCAGCACTTTGGGAGGCCGAGGCGGGCGGATCACAAGGTCAGGAGATCAAGACCATCCTGGGCTAACCGGGTGAAACCCATCTCTAACTACTAAAAAACTAACAAAATTAGCCGGGCGTCGGGTGGCAAGGTGCCTGTAGTCCCAGCCTACCTCAGGAGGCTGAGGCAGAGGAATGGGTGGTGAAACGGGGAGGGGGCGGAGCTTGCAGTTGAGTCAATCACGCCACTGCACTCCAAAGCTTTGGGCGACAGAGCAAGAACTCTGTCAAAAAAAAAAAAGAAATTATTTATATATATATGTGGTGTGTGTGTTGTGTTTATATATTTTTTTGAAGACAGAAGTTTCGTCTTGTTGCCCAGGCCTTGGAGTGCCCAAGGTGGCCACCTATCGCGGGCCAAGCCAAGCTCCGCCTCCTTGGGTTCACACCATTCTCCTGCCTCAAGCTCCCCCAAACTACTGAGGATTAACAAGCCATACGCCACCCACCCCGGGCTAATTTTGTATTTTTAGTAGAGATGGGGTTTCTCCATGTTGGTCAGGCTGGTCTTGAACTACCGACCTCAAGTGATCCGCCCACCTTGGCCTCCCAAAGTGCTGGGATTACAGGCATAAGCCACCACGCCTGGCCAATAATTTTATTTTTTTAGAGACAGGGTCTTGCGCTGTCATCCAGGCTTAAGTGCAGTGGGTCGATCATAGCTCATTGCAGCCTCCTGGGCCCAAGTGATCCTCCTGCCTCAGCCTCCCAAGTAGCAGAGACTACAGGCTCGAGCCATCACACCAGTGGACTTTCAATTAGACGGGGTCTCACTATGTTGCCTAAGGCTGGCATGAAAGACTTTCTGAGAGTAATATTAATAAATGCAAAGAATAAAATGAGGTGATCTGTTAGAAGCGGGGGCACTGTTTTAGTGGGGATGGTTGGAGAAGGTCACTTTGGAGAGGCTTGAGCAGAAATGATCAAATGATGAATGAATGATGAATGATCAAACAATGAAAAGTGGGGACTGTTAGGAGAGCCAGGCAAAGCATTCTAGTCTGAGGGAAGAGCCAGCGCGATGGCCCAGAGGTAGGAAAGAGGTCAGCACGTGTTAGAAACTGTGAGGAAGCCTTTGTGCCTGGAGCAGAGTGAGTGAGAGGGAGTGCGGGAGGAGAGGTCAGGGAGGTGACGGGGAAGGTTTTTTAGGCTTGACTGGCCATGGGAGGACTTGGCTTTTACTCTGAGACACAGCCTGAGAGGGCCCTATGCAGAGGAGGAATGGGATCTGATTCCAGGCTTCACTGGGTGCCCCCTGTTGTTGGGAGGCAGGGCAGGAGCAGGGAGACGAGGAGGAGGCTGCTGCATTGCCCAGGCAGGAGATGACGGGGACAGGACCAGGGTGTGAGCGGCTACTGTCATCTTCACAGGAAGGAGGTCCCTGCCCGACTAGCACCACCTCCTTGAATAGGAACTCAGGCAGGGCCAGGGACAGGTGTAGTTGACAGGATTGAAATGAACCTGGTGCTGGGTGTGGTGACTCATACCTGTAATCCCAGCACTTTGGGAGGCCGGGGAGAGAAGATTGCTTGAGCCCAAGAATTCAAGACCAACCTGGACAGCATAGGAGACCCTGTCTCTACAAAAAAATAAAAAAATTGGGCCGGGCATGGTGGCTCATGCCTGTAATCCCAGCACTTTGGGAGGCCAGGGCGGGTGGATCACCTGAGGTCAGGAGTTCGAGACCAGCCTGACCAACATGGTGAAACCCCATCTCTACTAAAAATGCAAAAATTAGCTGGGCATGGTGGCACATGCCTGTTATCCCAGCTACTCAGGAGGCTGAGGCAGGAGAATCGCCTGAACCTGGGAGGTGGAGGGTGCAGTGAACTGAGATGGTGCCATTGTACTCCAGCTTGGGCAACAAGTGCGAAACTCCATCTTGAAAAAAAATAAATAAATCTGAAAATTAGCCAGGTGTGGTAGTGCTACCTGTAGTCCCAGCTGTTTGGGAGGCTGAGGCAGGAGGATTACTGAAGTCTGGGAGAGGTGGAGGTCACAGTGAGCTGTGATGGCACCACTGCACTCCAGGCTGGGCAACAGAGCAAGACCTTATCTTTAAAAAAAAAAAAAAAAAAAGCCAGGTGCAGTGGCTTACACTATAGGATTACACTGTAATCCTAGCACTTTAGGAGGGTAAGGCTGGAGGATTGCTTGAGGCCAAGAGTTCAAGACCAACCTGGCCAACATAGCAAGACCCTGTCCCATGTAAAAAATAAATAATTAAAGAAATAAATAAATTACAGAAATAGCCGAGGCAACATAGTAGACTCTGTCCCTACAAAAATTAAACAATTTTCAAAGAAAAAGAGGCCAGCCATGGTGGCTCATGCCTGTAATCCTGGCACTTTGGGAGGCTGAAGCAGGCAGATCAGTTGAGGTCAGGAGTTTAAGACCAGCCTGGTCAACATGGTGAAACCTCGTCTTTACTAAAAATACAAAAATTAGCCGGGCATGGTGGTGCACACGTGTAGTCCCAGCTACTCAGGAGACTGAGGCAGGAGAATCACTTGAACCCAGGAGACAGAGGCTGCAGTGAGCCGAGATCATGCCACTGCACTCTAGCCTGGGTGACAGAGTGAGACTCCTTCTTTAAAAAAAAAGGAAAAGGAGCCTGGCAAAGGAAGTCAGCCCTCTGGATGAAGGGCTGTGCACAGGCGACTGGATCTGGTAAATCCCTCGCCCTGGTCCCACAGCGACAAAGGCCTCCCCTTGGTGGCCTGAGTGTCGCCTTCTCTCAGGGACGCCTCTTAGCCTTCACTGGTGCTGGTCCGCGTGCCTGAAACATCCTTCTCCTCTTCTCTCATCTCCACTCTAAGCGCTCCCCACCCTTTTCTATCCAGCCAGGATCCCAGATCCCTTGGAGGCTGTCCAGGCATGCCCTGTCACCCTCATCCTCAGTTCCTTCCTGTGTAACTACCCCATCCCACCCTCACCCCAAGCTCCAGGCCCAGAACCTGGCTGTCCTCTGACTTGCATAGGTGGCAGAAAGTCTGCTGCAGAGACAGTGGAAGCCCACCTCAAGAGTGAGACTGGGGGCCAGATGAGATGGCTCACGCCTTTAATGCCAGTACTTTGGGAGGCCAAGGTGGGAGGCTCACTTGAGACCAGGAGTTCAAGACCAGCCTAGGCAATGTAGTGAGACCTCATCTCTCTAATTTTTTTTTTTTTTTTTTTTTTTTGAGACTGAGTCTGGCTCTGTCGCCCAGGCTGGAGTGCAGTGGCCGGATCTCAGCTCACTGCAAGCTCCGCCTCCCGGGTTTACGCCATTCTCCTGCCTCAGCCTCCGGAGTAGCTGGGACTACAGGCGCCCGCCACCTCGCCTGGCTAGTTTTTTGTATTTTTTAGTAGAGACGGGGTTTCACCGTGTTAGCCAGGATGGTCTCGATCTCCTGACCTTGTGATCCGCCCGTCTCAGCCTCCCAAAGTGCTGGGATTACAGGCTTGAGCCACCGCGCCCGGCTTTTTTTTTTTTTTTAAGCTGGAACTGGAAATTCCCGGAGTGGAAAGCAGCACCCTAGGTGCCACATCCCTCCCACCTTCCCAGCATCCCTCCCACCTGCACAGTTTTGCTCATCCCATGCTTTCCTTCCCTATGTATTCCCTACATGCACATTCTGTCTGCAGACACTGGCTCTGGAGTCATCTCCTCCAGGAAGGCCTCCGACTCCCTCCACAGCCCCTTACCCCTCTGCCCCCTCCTAGGCTGGCCCATCCCCCATCCAAGCCCCAAACCTAGATCATGTCCTCTGGCCATCACATGGTGGACAGTGTGCTGCCCCCGGCCAGCCCAGGAGGCAGGCTGTTCGAGGTGGGCTCAAGGCAGGGGGCATCCAGAGGCTACCATAAGGACACACTCGTGGGGCCATCTCACCCTCAGCACTCTGAGGACCTGGTGCGCATGGGCCACCTGACGGGACTAAAGCCCGTGGTGCTGGTCACCTTCCAGTCGCCAGTCAACTTCTACCGCTGGAAGATAGAGCAGCTACAGATCCAGATGGAGGCTGCCCCCTTCCGCAGCAAAGGTGGGCCTGGGGGAGGCTGGAGGGGTCGCAGTCTGGCAGGGGTTTGGGGTTTGCTGGGGGCCGCCGTGGGGCCATGATCTGAGGAGGGTATGTGGGGGGGCAGGAGCTCAGCACATTCCATGGCCTAGATGGGGCCACACAGAGGCCCCAGTGGGACCCATGGCATGGAGGCGGGTATGGGGAGTTGTGGGGAGATCCCAGTGTGGTCTGGGGCCTGGAACCAGCCATTGGGAGGCCCCAGCAATTTCAGTGCCCAGGGCCTCCCTGCAGAGTCATGCATGGCAGAGGAAGTGTGTAGCATGAGCTGGTACACGCCCATGCCTATCAAGAATGGCAGTGTGGTCATGCGTGTGGACGTCAGCAGCAATGGCCTGGGGACCTTCATTCCAGATGAAAGGTATCCTTTCCCAAGCCGGGGGCCGGGGTGGACTCCAGGGGAACTCCTCACCCCGGGGTCCCCAGAGGAGCCAGTGGGAGATCCAAGGGAGAGAATGGGGAGAGCGGCAGCTGCGAGCTGTGGAACCCCTGACACTGGGACCTCACCTGCGCCTGTCCTGCACCTGCTGCTAGGTTCCAGGTGAATATCAATGGCTTCCTGAAGAGAAACCAGGACAATAACATCCAATTCACTGTGGGAGACGAGGTGAGGGAATCTGGGCAGGGGAAAAAGACAATGGTCTGGGCCTTACGCTGACGCCCTGGTTACTTCCCAGATAAGCAGCAGATCCCATTTAGGGAGCACCAACTTCATGCCAGGCCCCACATGAAGATTCCATTAATCTCCCCAGTGACTCTTTGAGGGGACATACTCTCACATACTCCATTATAAAGAGGAGACACCTGAGGTCCCAAAGGGATGGAACCATTTTCCCATAGTCCCTCAGCATGGAAGGAGTCTTGAAGTTATCTGCCTATCTGCCTGACTCCTGTACATACCTGTACACACACACACACACACACACATATATGTTTTTTTTTTTTTTTTTGAAACAGGGCCTCGCTCTGTCATCCAGGCTGGAGTGCAGTGCTGCAATCATGGCTCACTGTAGACTTGAGCTCCTGGGCTCAAGCAATACTCCCACTTCAGCCTCCCGAGTAGCTGGGACCACAGGCATGTACCACCATATCCAGCTAACTTTTTAATTAATTAGTTAATTGTTGTTTTTGAGCCAGAGTCTTGCTCTGTCCCCCAGGCTAGAGCGCAGTGGTACAATCTCACCTCATTGCAACCTCCACCTCCTGGGTTCAAGCAATTCTCCTGCCTCAGCCTCCCAAGTAGGTGGGATTACCGGCGCCCATCACCACGCCAGGCTAATAATTTTTTTATTTTTTGTAGAGACGAGGACTCACTCTATCATCCAGGCTGGAGTGCATCATCCAGGCTGGAGTGCAGGAGAGTGACCTCGTCAGGCTCAGGTGATACTCTCCCCTCAGTTTTTGTATTTTTAGTAGAGGGAGGGTTTTATCATGTTGCCAGGGTTGGCTGAAGTGATCTGCCCACCTCGGTCTCCCAAAGTGCTAGGATTACAGGTGTGAGCCACTGCGCCCAGTCCATGCCCATATGCAATTTTTTTTTTTTTTTTGAGACAGAGTTTCGCTCTTGTTGCCCAGGCTGGAGTGCAGTGGTGTGATCTCGGCTCACTGCAACCTCTGCCTCCCGGGTTCAAGCAATTCTCCTACCTCAGCCTCCTGAGTAACTGGGATTATAGGCACGTGCCACCACACCCAGCTAATGATTTTTTATTTTTATTTTTATTAGAGATGGGGTTTCTTCATGTTGGCAGGCTGGTCTTGAACTCCCAACCTCAGGTGATCCACCCGCCTCAACCTCCCAAAGTGCTGGGATTACAGGCGTGAGCCACCACGCCTGGCCTCATACCCATATTCTTAATCCCGATGCATTCACCCATTCATTCATGCTGTCACTCAGCAGGCACTTACTGAGCACACGTTGTTGCATCATGGGGACACAGCAGTGAACCCACAGACCCAAATCTCTGCCCTCCTGGAGCTGACACTGTAGTAGGGGAGACAGATGGCAACCTGGCAAACTGGTAAATGTGAAAATCAAGTGAATTGCGTAGTGGGGTAAAGGGTGGTAAGTGCTCTGGAGAGAAATGGAACAGGACAACGGGAGTTGGGTCTGTGCAGAAGGAGAGTGCAATGTTTAATAGGATGGTCAAGAAAGGCCTTGGCCGGGCGCGGTGGCTCAAGCCTGTAATCCCAGCACTTTGGGAGGCCGAGACGGGCGGATCACGAGGTCAGGAGATCGAGACCATCCTGGAACACGGTGAAACCCCGTCTCTACTAAAAAATACAAAAAACTAGCCAGGCGAGGTGGCGGGCGCCTGTAGTCCCAGCTACTCCGGAGGCTGAGGCAGGAGAATGGCGTAAACCCGGGAGGCGGAGCTTGCAGTGAGCTGAGATCCGGCCACTGCACTCCAGCCTGGGCGACAGAGCCAGACTCATCTAAAAAAAAAAAAAAAAAAAAAAAAAAAAAAAAGGCCTCATTGAGAAGTTTAAGCTTCCAAGGAGAGAATCGCATGGATACTAGGGGAAGAGCATTTCATCAGGAGAAGCAGAGGCCCTGAGGTGGGCGTGTGCCTGGGAGGTCTGAGAAGCAGAGAAGAGGCCGTGTGGCTGGGAGAGAGGGGGTGAGGGGGAGAATGGTAAGGAATGAAGTCAAGGAAGTGAGAAGGACAAATTGTGTAGGGCCTTGTGGGTCCAGGTCAGGCCTTGGACCTAAATGAGATGGAGCCTCAGGAGAGTGGTGGGAGTGTTGGCGTCCCTCCTGTCCCTCCCTGGCAGCTCTTCAACCTGATGCCCCAGTACTTTGTGGGTATCTCATCGAGGCCCTTGTGGCACACTGTGGACCAGTCACCTGTGCTCATCCTGGGAGGCATTCCCAATGAGAAGTACGTCCTGATGACTGACACCAGCTTCAAGGACTTCTCTCTGGTGGAGGTGAACGGTGTGGGGCAGATGGTGGGCGGGGCCTCTTGGAGGGAGCTGCACCTCAGCCCCTGGAATAGGGTGGGGGCCTGGGGCTCTAGAAGAGGTCCCCACAGACACATCAGTCGCCATGAGAGGCAGATAGCATGAAGAAAAAACACACGATTCTACAGCCAGAGGCCTAGGTTCAAATCCTGGTTCTGCCGCCACCTGGCTGCCTGACCCTGGACTTGGCATTCAACGACCCGGTCCTCAGATTCCCATTTGTAACATGGTAGTAATACTTATATTTACTTCATAGGATTATTGTGAGGATGATGTAAGTTAATAGTTTCCAGCTGAGTGCAGAGGCTCATGCCTATAATCCCAGCACTTTGGGAGGCTGAGGTAGGAGAACCACTTGACAGCAGGAGTTTGAGACCAGCCTGGACAACATAGTGAAACCCCATCGCTACCAAAAATACAAAACTTAGCCGGGGTGGTGGCATGAGTCTGTAGTCTCAGCTGCTCAGAAGGCTGAGGCAGGAGGATTGCTTGAGCCTGGGACTTTGAGGCTGCAGTGAGCTATGATCATATCATTGCACTCCAGCCTGGGAGACAGATCGAGACCCTGTCTCAAAAAAAAAAAAGGGGTTAATAGCTTCCATAACCAATGGTATATGTGTGCCATTACCTTCTCCACTCTGGAAAATTCTGCATTGCAATATACATCTCTGCCCAAGAGTTTCCTATTAGGCATTGAGAGCCTATATTATCCCATAATAGGGAGGGAGTGTCTGAAGTAAGGATCTTTTGGCTTCAGTGACAGAAATATGTTGGAATTAGTGCAGCTACAGTCAGAATGCCAAGCCAGGTTGGTTTACCCAGAGAACTGGTTTACCCAGAGAACAGAGAACCGTGCGCAGCCTTGTTCTTGTTCTCTAACCATGGGGATTTCTCCCTGATGGTCTCATCTTATTGTCTCCTGTCTTCCCTGCTCCTGTCTCTCCCCACCACTCCCTTCCACACTGCCCCCAGGAAACAGATCCTCCCCCTGCACAGCTCGCTTCACCTTTGTTGGTTGGGGTCCAGGTATAGATGCTATAACAAAGAGACCCTGGAAGAGAATGACTGAAATAGAGACTGTTGCTCGTTTTTTCTTTTTCTTTTTCTTTCTTTCTTTCTTTCTTTTTTTTTTTTTTGAGACAGAGTCTCGCTCTGTTGCCCAGGCTGGAGTACGGTGGTGCAATCTCGGCTTACTGCAACCTCTGCCTCCCGGGTTCAGGTGATTCTTCTGCCTCAGCCTCTTGAGTAGCTGGGATTGGAGGCACCCACCACCGCACCTGGATAATTTTTGTATTTTTAGTAGAGATGGGGTTTTGCCATGTTGGCCAGGCTGGTCTCAAACTCCTGACCTCAAATGATCTACCCACCTTGGCCTCCCAAAGTGTTGGGATTACAGGTGTGAGCCACCGCACCTGGCTGTTGCTCATTCTCGTAACAGTCCAGAGGTGAAGAACCTTGTTCCTTCCATTTTCTCACTTCACCATCCCCTGGGCTGGAGGTGTTGACCTCTGTATGACGGCAGCCACTGGGAAAGGGGAGGAGAAGAAGTAGAGGGCAAGCCATTTTCTTTTAAGCAAGCTTCACATCCACTGACATTCCGCTAGTGAGAAGGGGTCACCTGTCTACATCCAACTGCAGGGGACACTGGGTGGTACATGCCCAGCTAAATTCAATCACCAAAAAATATAGGGAAATGGATTTGAGAGTTTCGCTAGCCATCTCCTGAAAGTGGAGAAGAAAATTTACTGATTCACGAGACCAAAAAATTCAAGACTTCAGGCTCTGCTTGGCCCAGGATTTCAAACAGTATCACTGAGACGGGATTTCTTGTCTCATCTCTTGGACCACATTCCTCTGTTTTTTGTTTGTTTTTTGAGATGGAGTTTCACTCTTGTCACACAGGCTGGAGTGCAGTGGTGCAATCTTGGCTCACTGCAACCTCTGCCTCCCGGGTTCAAGCGATTCTCTTGCCTCAGCCTCCCAAGTAGCTGGGATTACAGGCGCGTGTCACCACGTCCAGCTAATTTTTTGTATTTTTAGTAGAGACGGGATTTCACCACACAGTTATTTATTTTAATTAGCTGGGAGTGGTGGCAAGCACCTGTAGTCCCAGCTACTCGGGAGGCTGAGGCGGAAGGATTGCTTGAGCCCAGGAGTTTAAGACCAGACTGGGTAACATAGCGAGACCTCACCTCTACAAAAATAAAAATTAAAAAATTAGCTAGGCATGGCGGTGAGCACCTGTCGTCCCAACTACTCAGGAGACTGAGGTGGGAGGATTGTTCGAGCCCAGGAGTTTGAAGTTGCAGTGAGCTGTGATCATACCACTGCACTCTAGCCTGGGTGACAGAGCCAGATCCAGCCTTTAAAAAAAAAAAGTCCCTTGGGGAGAGCATGGGGTGTTGTATCCATGTAGGTATAACCCTGACTGTAGCCAGGGGTACAAGGACCGCTAAGGACCGTTGAGCATGCTGTGCACTGCCCAACTCCAGGGGGCACACGAAGCCTGAACTGGCTCAGGCCTGGGTCACCTGCTTCTCTGGTCCATATAGGGGAGGTTTGGCTACCAAGGTGTTGCTGCAGGGTGAGCAGGGAGAGCACTCTGGGGCAGCTGTCAGAGCAGGAGCTTCCCCGCAAGTCAGGACATGGGGGCTGAGGCCAAGGCCACCTGCTCACCACTGGCCTCTGCTCCCCTGCAGCTGAGCATTGACAGTTGCTGGGTGGGCTCCTTCTACTGCCCCCAATCTGGCTTCACGGCCACCATCTATGACACTGTTGCCACCGAGAGCACCCTCTTCATTCGGCAGAACCAGCTGGTCTACTATTTCACAGGCACCTATACCACACTCTATGAGAGAAACCGCGGCAGTGGTGAGTGGGCTGTGGCAGGACCCACGCCTAGGGAGGGCACCCCGGTGAACCCCTCCACAGAAGGTACCTGGGGCTGGCATTGCTGTGGGTGAGGCAGCAGGGAAGGAACTTGGTAAGGCCCCGACCACCCCTGCCCACCCCGAATGGACCTTCCCTTGCCCCCCTCTTTTTTTTTTTTTTTTTTTTTTGCTGTGATGAGGCTTCCACCCAGACCCTCCTGGGAATTGTGAGCAACTGTGAGAAGAGGGGGTGTGAGAGTAAAGGGAGGTAGAGAGAAGCAGACACATGCGTGTGCCCACACAGGGTGGCAGAAGGACGGAGAAAGAGGGAGAGGGGCATGGCAAGTCAGAAGGAGCGGGAGGAGAGAGAGAAACAGAAGGGCAAAGCCTCAAGGGAAACTCATCGGAGACAAAAAAGAGAGGCTAGGCACAGTGGCTTAGGAGGCCAGACTACTCAGGAGGCTGATGGGAGGGGGGATCACATGAGCCCAGGGGTTTGAGGCTACAGTGAGCTATGATCACACTACTGCACTCCAGCCTGGGCGACAGAGCAAGACCCTGTTTCAAAAAAAGAAAAATGCTGGGCGCGGTGGCACACGTCTGTAATCCCAACACTCTGGGAGGCTGAGGCGGGTGGATCACTTGAAGTCAGGAGTTCAAGACCAGCTTGGCTAACACGGTGAAACCCCATCTCTACTAAAAATACAAAAAATTAGCAAAATTAGCTGGGCATGGTGGCACGTGCCTGTAGTCCCAGCTACTTGGGAGGCTGAGGCAGGAGAATCGCTTGAACCCTGGAGGCGGAGGTTGCAGTGAGCCAAGATCGTGCCCCTGCACTCCAGCCTGGGTGACAGAGCGAGATGTCATCTAAAAAAAAAAAAAAAAAAAAAAAAAAAAGCTAGGTGCAGTGGCTCACACCTGTAATCCCAGCACTTTGGGAGGCTGAGGCGGGCAGATCACAAGGTCAGGAGTTTGAGACCAGCCTGGCCAATGTGTTGAAACCCCGTCTCTACTAAAAATACAAAAATTAGCTGGGTGTGGTGGCGGGTGCCTGTACTCCCAGCTACTCGGGAGGCTGAGGCAGGAGAATCGCTTGAATTCAGGAGGTGGGGCTGCCGTGAGCCGAGATAGTGCCACTGCACTCCAGCCTGGGCAACAGAGTGAGACTCCGTCTCAAAAAAAAAAAAAATGCCAAAGCTCTCCTATTTCTTCTAGTTTTTCCCGCCATCTCAGAACTGTCAGCTTCCAGAGTCACCGGAAATTGGACTGTAACTTATAAGTAAATGGGTGTTCCCAGCAGCTTTGCTTTCTCTCTTTCTTAGGGCACTTTGACAGTGGGAGGAACCAAATTCAAATTGGCTTAAGCCAAAGAAAAGAGGTGTTTATTGGCTTCTGTGGCTGAAAAGCCCAGGAGCGTGTTGGTTTCAGGAATGGCTGCACCAGGGGGTCACTGTCACAGACAGTCATCTCTTTGTGCATGCCACGGTGACTCCGGCCCCTGCTCAGCAACTGTAGACTTGTATGCCCTTCAGTAGCCCCAGAAAAGAGCATCTTGTTGCTGATTGCAAGCTGGTATTGCCTCTGATTTGGCCAGCTTGGTCACATGGTAATCACTGTGGCCAAGGGAGTGCAAGGGAGGTGTCAGCCCAATCTGACCCTCATGGACAGAGTGTGAGCAAAGGAGGATTTTCTCAAAGGCAGCGGGTGCCCTCTGCCAGTGCTCCCTGACACCACACTGAACAGGTGCTATAGCACGACAGGACAGATAACAGGCTCACAAAAGCCAGGGAAATGTGGGCTGGGCTGGGCTGGGCGGGGCGGAGGGCGGAGGCCGCAGATCCAACCACCTGGGTCTTAGGCCCCATGCCGGCTTCCCTAGGCAGCTGGGTTCGTGTCCTGGCCAGCGAGTGCATCAAGAAGCTGTGCCCTGTGTATTTCCATAGCAATGGCTCTGAGTACATAATGGCCCTCACCACGGGCAAGCATGAGGGTTTTGTACACTTCGGGACCATCAAAGGTAAGGGTGTGGGCCTCTGGCAGCCCCAGGGACCCCTCCATACCCTCTCACCTCCAAGGATTCTAACCTTGGGACCTCACTCATCACCATGTGCCCTGAGGAGGGCCCCCAGGCTGAGAGTGGTGATGGTGGTGGTGGAGGGATGCGTTTGTAGGGATAGGGCTTGGGGGTATGTTATGTATCTTTCATGACGTACTTGGTTTTAAAGCGCAGAAGATCTGGGCACGGTGGCTCATGCCTGTAATCCCAGCACTTTGGGAGGCTGAGGCAGGCAGATCACTTGAGGTCAGGAGTTCAAGAACATCCTGGCCAACATGGTGAAACCCCATCTCTACTAAAAATACAAAAATTAGCTGGGCATGGTAGCAGGCACCTGTAATCCCAGCTATTCAGGAGGCTGAGGCAGGAGAGTCACTTGAACCCAGGAGATGAAGGTTGTAGTGAGGCGAGATTGCGCCACTGCACTCCAGCCTGGGCAACAGAGTGAGACTCCATCTCAAAACAAACAAATCTACTCCCCCAAAAAAATAGCAGAAGCCCAATTCAAAAATAATTTAAGTACAGCTGGGCACAGTGGCTCATGCCTGTAATCCCAGCCCTTTGGGAGGCTGAGGTGGGTGGATCACCTGAGGTCAGGAGTTCAAGACCAGCCTGCCCAACATGGAGAAACCCCATCTCTACTAAAAATACAAAAACCAGCTAAGCATGATGGCACACACCTGTAGTCCCAGCTACTTGGGAGGCTGAGGCATTAGAATTGCTTGAACCTGGGAAGCAGAGGTTGTAGTAAGCTGAGATCATGCCACTGCACTCTAGCCTGGGCAACAGAGTGAGACTGTCTTAATAATAATAGTAATAATAGGCATAAAGAATTTGTGGACTTAGATAAATGAAAAGACTGGGGTTCAACTTCAGGTATGGCTGGATCCAGGGGCTCACAGGGTATGTCATCAGGACTCCATCTCTTGGTAAGGTAGTGCAGCATAGTAATTAATTATAGCACAGATTCTGGAGAGAGACTGCTCCATCACACCTTTGCTGTGTGCCTTTCGATATGTAACTTGACCTCTCTGATCTCGTTTTCTTCACCTACAAAATGTGACTAACAGTAGTACTAGTATCTAGGTCACTGGTTTGATATAAAGATTAAATAAGTTGGTTTTTGTAAAGGTCTTAGTACTAGCGACGTGGTGAGTGTTACAAATGGTTTATTATTATTGGTCCTATAATTTGGGTCCATTTTCAGGTAGCTATTCCTCCATGAAGGTTAAAGGTAGCCCCTTAAAGCTTAAGACTCAAGTCACCTACTAGTCTGAGTCATGGCAAGAGAATGAAGACAGCATCTTTCCCATTAATTCTAACACAAGTCCCAGAGTAAATTCTGATTGGCTCACTGTGGTTCTCATGGCCAGACCTGAGCCATGAGACCCACACTGTCATGACTGTGACCAGAGACAGACATGCTCTGATAGGCCAGGTGTGAGTGACGGAAGGCCAGAGAATGAGATCCCAAGGACTGAGGGGCTGGTGGGCATGAGGAGGGCAATCAGAGTTGGCTTGATGGGCTGCCAGACAGGAGGGAGAGGGACTGAACATGAACCCCACCTTGCTCTGCAGATGGCCAGGTGTCCTTTGAGATGCTGCCCAGGCAGTGGTCTGTGTGCGAGCAGATGGGAGGTACTAATCCCCCCGATGGGTCTGCGGCGGGAGGCTGGGGGGACTGAGGATGCAGAAGAGCAGGGGAGGGTGGCAGGGGTCATGGGAAAGAATGGGCAGTGTCTTAGGGAGGGGTGAGAGTTATGGGGAGGGGCACAGCTGGCACAGGAGCAAGGCCATTGAGCCCTGGGGTGGCTCTGGACTGCCCCCTTTCCCTCTCAGTTACCACCTGCTCCATAATTTGGTCTGACTACATCGCGGGTGAGTATACCCTACTGCTGCTAGTGGAGAGCGAATATGAAAATGCCAGTAAACGTTTCCAGGTGGCCAGCTACAACACAGGTAATCAGGGCGATGCAAGGGGCTGGGCGCAAAGGGGCAGGAGCCCAGACTGTGGACCGCATGCCCATCCTGAGGGATCTGTGCCCAGCAGACAGAGGGAGGGCGACATTATCTGTGTCACTCCTGGATGAGGGGTAGCAGTGGAGAACTGGGTATAGGCTTGGCGATCTGAAAGGGCTCTGTGACTCACAATAAAGAGATTTTTTTTTTTTTTTTTTTTGAAATGGAGTCTAGCTCTGTCGCCCAGGCTGGAGTGCGGTGGCCGGATCTTAGCTCACTGCAAGCTCTGCCTCCCGGGTTCACGCCATTCTCCTGCCTCAGCCTCCCTAGTAGTTGGGCTACAGGCGCCCGCCACCTCGCCTGGCTAGTTTTTTTTTTTTTTTTTTTGTATTTTTTAGTAGAGACGGGGTTTCACCATGTTAGCCAGGATGGTCTCGATCTCCCGACCTCATGATCCGCCCGCCTTGGCCTCCCAAAGTGCTGGGATTACAAGCCTGAGCCACCGCGCCCGGCCAATAAAGATATTTTATTTTACCTGCAGTGAGAATAGGGCCGCCATGTAGAGTTGTACAGGCTGTGCACTGCAGAAAACCCCCAACTGAGGGGTCAGAGGAGACAGGTCCTGTGCCTTAACAGGACTGTTTCCTCTCAGAGGCAGTGTCTTTTTATAATTCACATGAAGAAATTCTAAAGGGCTAGGCATGGGGCTCACACCTGTAATCCCAGCACTTTGGGAGGCCGAGGCCAGAGGATCGCTTGAGGCCAGGAGTTCAAGACCAGCCTGGGGCAACATAGCAAGACCCTGTCTCTACAAATTAAAAAAACAAACAAAAAAAGGTAGCCAAGTATGGAGGTGCGCCTGTAGTCCCAGCTACTTGGAATATACCTGAGGTGGAAGGATGGCATAAGCCCAGGAGGTTGAGGCAACAGTGAGCTATGATCATGCCACTGCCTGGGTGACAGAGCAAGACCCTGTCTCAAAAAGAAAAAAAAAAAAAGAGCTGGGCGTGGTGGCTCATTGTTGTAATCCCAGCACTCTGGGATACCAAGGTGGGTGGAATGCTTGAGCTCAGGAGTTCAAGACCAGCCTAGGCAACATAGCGAAACCTCCTCTCTACTAAAAATACAAAAATTGGGCCAGGTGCGGTGGCTCATGCCTGTAGTCCCAGCACTTTGGGAGGTTGAGGCAGGTGGATCACGAGGTCAGGAGATCGAGACCACAGTGAAACTAGGTTTCTACTAAAAATACAAAAAATTTAGCCGGGTGCAGTAGCGGGTGCCTGTAGTCCCAGCTACTCGGGAGGCTGAGGCAGGAGAATGGTGTGAACCTGGGAGGCGGAGCTTGCAGTGAGCCGAGATCCGGCCACTGCACTCCGTCTCAAAAAAAAAAAAAATACAAAAATTGGCAGGGGGCAGTGGCTCACACCTGTAATCCCAGCACTCTGGGAGGCCGAGGCGGGGTTGGGGGGGGATCACTTAAGGTCAGGAGTTCAAGACCAGCTTGGCTAACATGGTGAAACCCTGTCTCTACTAAAAATACAAAAATTAGTCAGGCATGATGGTGGGTGCCTGTAAACCTAGCTACTCGGGAGGCTGAGGCAGAAGAATTGCTTGAACCTGGGAAGCAGAGGTTGCAGTGAGCCGAGATCACGCCATTGCACTGCAGTCTGGGCAACAGAGGGAGACTCTATCTTGGAAAAAAAAAAAAAATACAAAAAATTAGCTGGGCGTGGTGGTGGTGCGTGTCTATAATCCCAGCTACTCTATAGGCTGAGGTGGGAGGATCACTTGAACCCAGGAGGCAGAGGTTGCAGTGAGCCGAGATCACACCATTGCACTCCAGCCTGGGCGACAGAGAGATCCTGTCTTGGCGGAGGGCGGTGGAAGAAACTCTTAAGGACTAGCAAGCCCGGGTGGGAAGCTCTTTGGAGGGTTTTACAGGAGGCTGAGAAGCAAGCAACTTGCTCCAGCTCCAGGTTTTGAAAGCACAGAGCCTCAGGAGATTTTGCTGTGTTCACCCCCCCCCTCCGCCCCCGTAGCTAGTGATGACCTGGAACTTCTCTACCGCATCCCGGAGTTCATCCCTGAAGGTAGGAGGGGAAGGCAGAGGTGGCCTCAAGGGCGGCTGTGGGCCAGGAGGGGCCCAGGTGACTCCACCTCACTGCCGTGTCTTCTCTTCCTCTGCCCCGGTCAGCTCGAGGATTGGAGTTCCTGATGATCCTAGGGACGGAGTCCTACACCAACACTGTAATGGCCCCCAAGGGCATCTCCTGTAACCCGTACAACCACCTGATCTTCATCTGGGGCAACTTTCTCCTGCAGAGGTGGGCCTCCACCACTCCCGGGTGGGCCAGGCATACTCTGTCTCCCCAGCACCTTTAGGGTGTGGATGCTTTCAAGACCAGACTAGGCGAGTCTCACCAAGCCTTCAGAGGATGCCCAAATCCAGAAGTTACCAGGACGGTGATGGGGAACACACCGTTAGGGTAGTCAGTGCTGGGACGAGGGGAGCCAATGTTTTAAAGCTGTGGGAGCCCTTTTCTTAAAAATGAAACCTTATATAAAGACCCAGCCTGGCGCCGGGCGCGGTGGCTCAAGCCTGTAATCCCAGCACTTTGGGAGGCCGAGACGGGCGGATCACGAGGTCAGGAGATCGAGACCATCCTGGCTAACACGGTGAAACCCCGTCTCTACTAAAAATACAAAAACTTAGCCAGGCGAGGTGGCGGGCGCCTGTAGTCCCAGCTACTCGGGAGGCAACCCGGGAGGCGGAGCTTGCAGTGAGCTGAGATCCGGCCACTGCACTCCAGCCTGGGTGACAGAGCGAGACTCCGTCTCAAAAAAATAAAAATAAAAATAAAAATAAATAAAGACCCAGCCTGTGTGAGCAATAGATGAGCAGTTTCTAGGGTTTGTTTTTGTTTTTGTTTTGGGACGGTCTCGCTCTGTCACCCAGGCTACAGGGCAGTGGCACAATCTCAGCTCACTGCAGCCCCCGCCTCCCTGATTCAAGCGATTCTCCTGTGTCAGCCTCCCTAGTAGCTGGGATTACAGTTGCATGTCACCATGCCTGGCTAATTTTTGTATTTTTAGTAGAGACGGATTTCACCATGTTGGGCAGGCTCGTCTCGAACTCCTGACCTCAGGTGATCCGCCTCAGCCTCCGAGAGTGCTGGGATTACAGGTGTGAACCACGTGCCCGGCTAACTGACGAGCATTTTCTAGGGACAGTTTAGGATCCTCCCCACCCCAGCCACCCTCTCAACCCTCAGGAACCTAGGGGCCCCTGAGGCACTTTCTTGGGTGGCTGGCAAACTGCCAGGTTGGCCCGATGCTTCTGTTTTACAGATGGGGAGCTGGAGACTCTCAAAGGGTTTGGGGTGGGGGGCGGGAGCTAGGATTTCAAGCTTCCTTTGCACATTCTTCCAAGGGGAGAAACTGAGTAAGTGGCTCCCATGTTATTAGGCCTGGGATTGGGGGAAGCGGCTGTCCAGGATGCGCCCAGCTCTCCATCTCTGTCCCTGCAGCTCTAACAAGAAAAACTTCATCTACCTGGCAGACTTCCCCAAGGAACTGTCCATCAAATACATGACCAGATCGTTCCGTGGGGCTGTGGCTATTGTCACGGAGACGGAGGAGGTGGGCTGCCCTGCCCCTCTCCCCATTCCCTCTCTGCCCACCCCCAAACCCCAGGGGTCCCTCTTTCCCCCTGTCAGAGTAAAGGAGCTAAGGGAAGGGGGCACCCTCGGGGACCCTGAGAAAGGGCAGTGAAGCTCCATTTATAGCTGCAATCCCTGGAACTCAGAGTGTCAGCTCCAAAGTCACGCAGACCAGAGCTATGATCTAATGTTCAGAGGCGACCCTCTTTCATCCCACAGTGCACTCATTCACTTCATAAATATTGAGCATCTACTGTGTACCTGCCCCCTGTGCTGGAGAACACAGAGCGGTCAGGGCTGCAATGGGGAAAATATTACCTATGGAAGTAGGGGGACCTGGCCCATTCTGGGGGATTGCACATGTCAGGGAGGGCTTCATGGAGGAGACCACATGGAGGGGGACATCTTGGAGGATGGAGGGGATCACCCAGGTTGTGGTTCAGGAAGGGTAGTGAAGGTTCCCTTCAGATGTGTATGGGGGTGGGCATTAGTGCAGAGATGGGAAACTGAGGCCAAGGAAATGGTGAGACCCTGGAAGCTGCAGAGTGAGAAGAAAAAAGAGGTCTCGGCCGGGCACGGTGGCTTAAGCCTGTAATCCCAGCACTTTGAGAGGCCGAGGCGGGTGGATCACGAGGTCAGGAGATCGAGACTATCCTGGCTAACATGGTGAAACCCCGTCTCTACTAAAAATACAAAAAACTAGCCGGGCGTGGTGGCGGGCGCCTGTAGTCTCAGCTACCTGGGAGGCTGAGGAGGGAGAATGGCGTGAACCCGGGAGGCGGAGCTTGCAGTGAGCCGAGATCACGCCACTGCACTCCAGCCTGGGAGCACAGTGAGACTCCGTCTCAAAAAAAAAAAAAAAGAAAAGAAAAAAGAGGTCTCGGCCCTAGGAACCATGGCTGTTAGGGAGTGTGTATGTTAGGAATGTTTAGGTTACAAGTGCTAGAAACCTTAACAGACCAAAAACATTGAAAAACATGATCATAGTGTGTGAGGGCTGGAACCAGAGGTGATTGGGCTCAGGGAAGTAGAGAGATGGCACCACAGAGAAAAGGAAGGGGAGCGCCCTTGGTCCCAGTGGAGGTGAGTTTGCAAACTTCATCCCTCAAACAATGGGGCCACCACACTGGGCAGAGGGTGAGGTGGGATCAGAGGACCCCATGGTCCTGACACACACACATCTGGCTGTCGTACCCACAGATCTGGTACCTCCTGGAGGGTAGCTACCGGGTGTACCGGCTGTTCCCATCCAAGGGCTGGAAGGTGCACATCAGCTTACAGCTGATGCAACAGTCCTCTCTCTACGCATCCAATGAGACCATGCTGACCCTCTTCTACGAAGGCAGCAAACTGTACCAGGTGCCTGGCGGGGCTCTGCGGGGACATTGGGGCACTGCAGGAGGGCTGACCCCAGCTCACCTGACTCTGCCTTCCCCCTGTAGCTGGTGTACCTTATGAACAACCAGAAGGGCCAGCTGGTCAAGAGGCTTATGCCCGTGGAACAGCTTCTGATGTATCAACAGCACACCAGCCACTATGACTTGGATCGGAAAGGGTGAGAGGACACCGGAGCATGACAGGGGTCTGAGGGCTCCCGGCACTGCCCTCCTGAAGCTACCATTTTTGAGAGAGGGGAGACCGAGCTAACCCCAGTGACAGCCTCAGGGCTACGATGGCAGGAGTTCAGCACTTATGGAAGCTCAGAGGAGGAGCCGAACCTGGCCAGGGGGGAAGGTGCATCAGGGAGGGCTTCAAGGAGGAGGAGGTGTATGCACTGTGACAAGAAGGGTGAGGAAGGATTAGCCAAGTGATAAGGTGGGGAAGGGTGTCCCAGAACGGGAGAACCACCTGTGCAGAAGCCCTGATGGGAAGGGGGATGAAGTGAGCCTGGTGGTCATGGGGAGAAACTTGGACTTCATCTTGAGGGTCTTGGGGGAGCCATGGATGGGACTAAAGGAAAGGACTGCAGGATCGGATTTTACCGCGTGCCATAATGATGCCTCTGGTCGCTGTCCTGCAGAAGGTGGATCAGAGCAACCCAGATTCGGGGCAGGGACGGGGAACTGGGGTGGAAGGAGGAAGCAGGAGGTGGAACAAAGATAAGAGGTCAAGTGGACAGGCAGATGGGGACTGCCCGTTGAGCAGGGAGGACTCTGGTCTCAGGGATCGAGGGATGTCCGAGGGGATGTGTGAAGAGGCCTCCGGGCAGCAGGGGCTGACGCTGAGGAGGAAGATCGGGGCTGGATTCGATACGGGAAGTGGGTGAGGTGAGAAAGAGGCCTGCGGAAGCTTCCAGTGCGCGGGGTGCCTTAGAGCCAGCAGCCCTTCCCCCCTGCCGCTGCCCAGGGGCTACTTGATGCTCTCCTTCACCAACTTCTGCCCCTTCTCGGTGATGCGCCTGAGGAACCTGCCCGGTCCGCAGAGATACACACGCCAGGAGCGCTACCGGGCACGGCCACCGCGCGTCTTGGAGCGCTCGGGCTTCCACAACGAGAACTCGCTAGCCATTTACCAGGGCCTGATTTACTACCTGCTGTGGCTGCACTCCGTGTACGACAAGGTGGGCGTCCGGCGGTGGGCGGGCAGGCCTGAGACCGGACTCGGGGAGTGGGGAGCCGGCTTAGAGGGCGAGGCCTGTGGAGCGGAGCGCAGCGGGATTGTAGAACTGGAGGACTGGGGGGTGGGGTGGGTGGGGGACGTGGGGGCGGGGCCTGGCTTGAGCAGGACTTCCAGGGGATGGTGTTGGAGGTGTGGCCGGGTTGAAAGCAGGGTCTGGGGATGCGCTGGGGTGTGTATCTTCTGCTCTGGGTTAGGAGCTGGGATTGAGGCTGGGAGGGGGTCTGGGGATGCCGCTTGCCTGGGGGCCCTCGCCCCGCCGCCCAATCCCTTTACGGTGCCGGGCGATCCCTGCAGCCGTACGCGGACCCGGTGCACGACCCCACCTGGCGCTGGTGGGAGAAAAACAAACAAGACCAGGTAGGCGGAGCGGATTGGGAGCCGGGAAAGGGGCGGTGCCCGGACACCCCTCACAGTGCCCCCAACCCCGGCGCTGACTCTACCGCGCGCATGCGGTACTCCAGGATTACTACTTCTTCCTGGCGAGCAACTGGCGAAGCGCGGGCGGAGTGTTCATAGAAATGGACAGCTACGAAAAGATCTACAACCTCAAGTCCGCGTACGAGCTGCCGGAGCGCATTTTCTTGGACAAGGGCACTGAGTACAGTTTCGCCATCTTCCTGTCGGCGCAGAGCCACTCGTTCCGGACGATGGCAGAACTCGGTCTGCGCGGGGCCAGAGTCACTCCCGAAGGGCAGGGCGAGGGCTGCCGGAATCTGGGAGCTTGGGGGGAGGGGACACCACCCGAAGGGTGGGGCCTGTGAGGGAGGCCTTAACCCCCTTTACTGTCCGGAGCAGGCACCGTCTTCCAGCTGCATAGCCAGGTAGACGTGGGCGTGGTGCTGGCCGACCCCGGCTGCATCGAGGCCTCGGTGAAGCAGGAGGTCTTGATTAATCGCAACGCGGTGCTATTTTCGGTGAGGCCCGGCGGGCAGTTGGGATCAAGGGAGGTTTTTTGTTTTGTTTTTGTTTTTGTTTTTTGTTTGTTTGTTTTTGAGACAGGGTCTTGCTCTGTCAGGCTGGAGTGCAGTGGCGCGATCACTGCATTCTTGGCCTCCTGGGCTCAAGTGATCCTCCTCCCTCAACCTCCTGAGTAGCTGGGACTGCAGGCATGCACCACAGTGCCCAGCGAACTTTTTTTTCTTTTTTTCTTTTGAGACGGAGTCTCACTCTGTCGCCCAGGCTGGAGTGCAATGGCACAATCTTGACTCACTGCAACCTCTGCCTCCCAGGTTCAACCGAGTCTCCTGCCTCAGCCTCCCTAGTAGCTGAGATTACAGGTGCACACCACCGCACCCAGTTAATTTTTTGTATTTTTAGTAGAGATGGAGTTTTACCATGTTGGCCCGGCTGGTCTTGAACTCCTGACCTCAAATGATCCGCCCACCTCAGCCTCCCAAAGTGCTGGGATTACAGGCGTGAGCCACTGTGCCCAGCCTTAACTTTTTATGTTTTGTAGAGAGGGGGGTCTGCCTGTGTTGCCCAGGCTGGTCTCGAATTCCTGGGCTCAAGAGATCCTCACGCCTCGGCGTGAGGTGTGAGGTGTGAGGCAAGAGCCACGAGCCACCCTGCGCTTGGCCCCGTTAGCCTATTCCTGAGTAGAAAAATGGAAGACTTCCGTTCTCCTACCAGCCCCCACCTTGCCCCAGCTATGGGTTATTTGAACTGTTTGTTGGTCTTTGGGGAGACCTGTTCACCCCTTCATTTCTGCCTCTCCCTTCCTTCAACCCCAGATTACGCTCAAGGATAAAAAGGTTTGCTATGACCAAGGCATTAGTGGACACCACCTTATGAAGTCTTCCATGACGGTCAATGTGAGGTCCAAGCCTGGAGGGGAGCGTGCAGGATGGTGGGAAAGCCTGGGCCCACAGGGATCACCATCTTCACCTGCTCCTACCTGCAGGTGGTGGGTTCATCCGGGCTCTGCTTCCAGGAAACGCACGAGGGGGCCCGTATGCAAGTATTGGAGCTTGGGATACTGGGCCCTGGGAGGGAAAGGTTGGGGTCAGGTCTCAACATGGCTAATCCCCTGAGAATCCCACTAATGATTCATAATTTCCTTTCTTCTCATTCTTTCTCATCATTCATCCACCCACCCACTACTACCCATTAACTCCTTTCATTCTTTTTTACTTTGAGATGGAGTTTCGCTCTTGTTGCCCAGGCTGGAGTGCAATGGTGCAGTCTTGGCTCACTGCAACCTCCACCTCCTTGGCTCAAGTGATTCTCCTGCTTCAGCCTCCCGAGTAGCTGGGATTACAGGTGCCCACCACCATGCCCAGCTAATTTTTTGTATTTTTAGTGGAGACAGGGTTTCTCCATGTTGGCCAGGCTGGTCGCAAACTCCTGAACTCAAGTGATCCACCCACCTCAGCCTCCCAAAGTGCTGGGATTCCAGGCATGAGCCTCCACACCCAGCCTAACTCCTTCCATTCATTCATGTTTTCAGAAAGGGCCACCTTCCCAGTTGTGCAGGTTGCACACAAGCTGATGTGTTCCCTCTGATAACTTTTCTGCAGAGGGAGAATAGAGTGAGCAACAGGGACTTTTTTTTTTTTTTTTTTTTTGAGACGAAGTCTCACTCTTGTCCCCCAAGCTGCAGTGCAATGGCGCAATCTCGGCTCACTGCAACCTCCGCCTCCCGGGTTCAAGCGATTCTCCTGCCTCAGCCTCCCAAGTAGCTGGGATTACAGGTGCATACCACCATGCCTGGCTAATTTTTTGTATTTTAAGAAGAGATGGAGTTTCACCATGTTGGCCAGGCTAGTCTCAAACTCCTGACCTCAGGTGACCTGCCCACCTCGGCCTCCCAAAGTGTTGGGATTACAAGTGTGAGCCACCGCGCCTGGTCCAGGGCCACTTTTTGCAATTGGCACAAAGGTGGCACAAGGGCTGGCCTGGCCCTGCCTTCACATCTCTCTTCTTCTGCCCACTCACATATTCCTCATTCAGTTCTTTGGGATCTTGGTTCTTCACTTGCTTATATATGCGTTATCGCCTTTGCCCAGGGCAGACACTGAGGCTCAGAGAGGTGCAGTGTAACCCAGGGAGCTAATAAGTGGTAGAGGAGGGGCCTGCCCCAGAGTTCTTGTTCTCACCCACTTCCCTACCCACTCCGGGGCACGCAGATCCTGGCGTTCCTCTTTCCTGGGTTAGAATGACCTTGGGCAGTCAAAAGGGATTGTAACAGCCCCCACCTCCTTAGAGTACATGAGATTTCATGTGCTAGACTGAATAAACAAGGAGGAAGTGTGACCGCATCACAGGGTGGGCAAGGGGAAATGTGGCGGGATGAACTCAGAGCAGTGATGGGGCAGAGTAAGTGGGGCCTCATGGGCCATGGTGCGTGAGCTGGTTCTTCGGGAGGGCTCCAAGCAGAGGAGGGACTCGAGGGTCCCCAGGGCCCATCTGGCTGCATGGGGTGGGGGGACATCTATGAGGGAACTGGAAGCAGGGAGACTCTGGAGAAGACAAGGTTGGACAAAACAGGGTGGGGGCAAAGGATTTGGAGGTTTAAGGGAGAGAATGAGTGGACTCTGCGTCTTTTTTTTTTTTTCGAGACAGAGTCCTGCTCTGTTAGCTGGAGTGCAGTGGCGCAATCTTGGCCTCTGTCTCCCTGGTTCAAGCTGTTCTCCTGCCTCTGCCTCCCAAGTAGCTGGGATTACAGGCATGCGCCACCACACCCAGCTAATTTTTTGTATTTTTAGTAGAGAAAGGGTTTTGCTGTGCTGGCCAGGCTAGTCTCAAACTCTGGATTCAAGTGATCGGCCTGCCTCGGCCTCCCAAAGTGCTGGGATTACAGGCATGAGCCACTGCGCCAAGCCGTTTTAATGATATTAATGACCATATTGCTCTTGGCGGTGAGGGAGAGCCAGGCAGTTGGTGGTGGTGTTTGTGGGAGGGGTACTGTCCTTCCTGCCCCTCACCTCTCCAGGGGCCTGAGGAGACCCTGGCCACTCCCATGAGCCTTTTTTCCTCCCACCGAGGGCAACCTGATGGTGCCAGTGTTCATTGGCTGCCCTCCAGGCAAGCGCCTGGCGTTCGACATCACCTACACTCTGGAATACAGCCGCCTGAAGAACAAACACTACTTTGACTGCGTTCAAGTGGACCCCGAGATGCCCTGCTTTCTCTTCCGGGACAGTGTGTGTCCAGTCCCTTCCCCTGCATCGTTCACTGTCCTCTTGCGCCCACCACTTTGCGCTCTCCCTCCCCACTCCTCTGCCCACAGGCTACCCACCCTCTTTCCCCCGGCATCTCACTTTCCCCCTTCTCGGTCCTCAGCTTCTCAGGCCAGGCTAATTTCTTCTTCCCGTCTCAACCCCCTCCAACCCCATAGTTTTCTACCCCTTCTTCTTGATTCAAGATTTGGTGACAGGAGACTCCGGCAGTTTCCAGGGCAGGTAAAGGCATGGCCAACTTGTAGCTAGGGCAGGTGGAGGGAGTGGAAGGGGATGGGTGCAGGACTCGAGACCCGGAGACCAGTCCGTGTGCACTTCTGTCCCTGGTAGCTACGTGCTGCTGGTGGTGGGTGGCGGGCCCACACTGGACACACTCAAGGACTACAACAAGGACGAAATCTACCGCTTCAACAGCCCCTTGGACAAGTAATCCCTGTGGGGCCCCACGCGTAATTGGCCTTGCTTCCCCTAGAGGCCTTTCCCACTTCCAAGCCAAGCCCACCTCACAAGCCCCCGCCTCCGCATCTCAGGTCCCGCCCACAGTGGGGCTCTTAGGATCCCACAGGCAAACTCCTGCAGGGCCCCCCTAACACCATGCCCCCTGCACATAAGACCCTGCCCCCTGCACCCACCTCTGGCCTCCCTCCACACTGACCACTGAGGCCATACCTCCCCCACACACCCCCAACCCCTGGCTGAGATGACCTCGTCCTGCACAGGACCAACAGCCTTATCTGGACCACGAGGACCAAAAGGACCACCAAAGACTCAGCCTTCCACATCATGTCCCATGAGAGCCCGGGTATTGAGTGAGTGCGCAGCCTGGCCCTCTTGGCCCCCATCTGTCGGTAGTCCATCAGGCCCACCCATCCTTTCTGCCCCCAGGAGGCCTCTTGATCCCCAAGTCACACTGACTGCCTTTGTGTTACTCAAATGGGGCTGAACTTTGCACAAGTTGAAGTCCCTGCCTGGAATGCTGCTCCCTCCTACTCTTGTCAGGCCTTAGGCAGATGCCCCTTCAGCCAGGAGGACTTTTCTGTTTCAGGATGGGACAATTGTCCCTTCGTGGCTCCCATGGTCGCCTGGGGCTCTCCCATCCCGCCCCTGAGTCCCCTACCTGTGCATCCCCATCCTAGAGTGGACAGCCCTGGGCAGTCACTGTCTGGTGTGGGGTCTGTCTCTCCTCCAGAACTGGGTCCTGAATAGACTCATAAATTTGTTTTTATTTTTATTTTTGAGATGGAGTTTCGCTCTTTGTTGCCCAGTCTGGAATGCAGTGGCATGATCTCAGCTCACTGCAATCTCCACCTTCCGGGTTCAAGCGATTCTCCTGTCTCAGCCTCCTGTTTGTTTATTTTTTGAGACAGGCTCCCTCTGTAGTCCACTAGGCTGGAGTGCAGTGGCGCAATCTCAGCGCACTGCAACCTCTGCCTCCCAGGTTCAAGCAATTCTCCTGCCTTAGCCTCCCAAGTAGCTGGGATTACAGGCAACCGCCACCATGCCTGGCTAATTTTTGTATTTTTAGTAGGGATGGGGTTTCACCATGTTGGTCAGGCTGGTCTTGAACTGCTGACCTCAGGTGATCCTCACGCTTCAGCCTCCCAGAGCACTGGGATTACAGGCGCACGCCACTATGCCCGGTTAATTTTTGTTTTTGTTTTTTTCTAGTAGAGATGGAGTTTCATCATATTGGCCAGGCTGGTTAACATAGCATTTATTGAATGAAATAATGAACAAATGAATAAATCAATTCGTGGCAGGCATTTGTTGATATTTGAATGTGGGTATTAATGAATGAATAAAACAATGGAGAAACAAATTCATATATAGGGGCTCAATAAGTTTCATTAAATGAAAGGAAAAAAATGAAGCCATGAGCAAATGAAGGCAGTGAATGAATGCACAACTTGCGCCTAGTCAGAATTTAACCTGCTCTATTTTTTTATTTTTTAGTTTTATTTATTTTTTGAGATGGACTCTTGCTCTGTCACCCAGGCTGGAGTACAGTGGTACAATCTCAGCTCACTGCAACTTCCGCCTCTTGGGTTCAAGTGATTCTCCCACCTCAGCCTCCCGTGTAGCTGGGATTACAGGCGCACGCCACCACGCCTGGCTAGTTTTTTGTAATTTTTAGTAGAGATGGGATTTCACCATGTTGGTCAGACTGGTCTTGAACTCCTGACCTCAAGTGATCCACCTGCCTTGGCCTCCCAAAGTGCTGGGATTATACGTGTGAGCCACTGCGCCCGGCCTAACCTGCATTTATTGGATAATGAATAGAGAAGGAAATAAATGAAAGATGTGACTTTGTACCTAGTAAGTGCTCAAGCTGTATTTATGGGATAAAGGAATGAAGGGAGCAAAGAATGAATAAGGAGTCGGCACATGATAGGTACACAGTCTGTAATCTGGATGGATGCACAGTGACAGAGGAATTGACAGATGGAGGCGTGAAGGCAGGAGGAAATGAATGAGTAGACAGCCTGTGGCACAGTAGCCGTTCAGTCAGCATGACTGAATGAGTGAATGAAGGAATGAACGAGGGAAGGCATGAGATCGCACCCATTTGGTCCTCACCGAGAGCGTTGGGGGGGAGGAAGAAATTGGGAGTTGGCACAGACTAGGCATGGTTGGTAGCACAACTGCCTGATCTTTGGCTCGAAGGTGGCTCTGTCTGGAGAACGCCCCATGCTATGACAATGTTCCCCAAGGCATCTTCGCCCCTGAATTCTTCTTCAAGGTGTTGGTGAGCAATAGGTGAGCCAGGCAAGTGGCCCAGGTGCGGGTCAGGGGCTGCCCATGGAATGCCTGGCTCCTCCTCTAATCCTGGGTCCCCTCCCAACCCCCGCAGAGGAGTGGACACGAGCACCTACTGCAACTACCAGCTCACCTTCCTGCTGCACATCCACGGGCTGCCACTCAGTCCCAAGCGGGCCCTTTTCATCCTCATGGTGAGTGGCTGTCCAGGAGCTGCCCTGCTGGGTGGGCAAGGGCCCACACCTCCACACCTATGCTTGTTGTACTTCACTAATTCATTCCTTCAGTCACTCATCTGGTCATGCCGACTGAACGCCTGCCATGCCACAGGCTATCTACTCATTCATTTCCTCCTGCCATCACGCCTCCATCTGTCAATTTCCCTGTAACTGTGGATCCAGATTGTGGACTGTGTACCTTATCATGTGCCAACTCCTTATTTATTCTTTGCTCCCTGCAGGTGTCAGTCAGCGTGTTTGTGGGCCTGGTGATCTTCTACATTGCCTTCTGCCTCCTGTGGCCCCTCGTGGTGAAGGGCTGCACGATGATCCGGTGGAAGATAAACGATATCATTGCCTCAGAATCCTACTACACCTATGCCTCCATTTCTGGAATGTCGAGCATGCAGTCTCTGAGACGTTCCAGGATGGGCTCCATGTTCAGCTCCAGGATGACAGAGGACAAGGCTGAACCCAAGGAAGCCGTGGAGAGACAGTTGATGACCTGAGTCTGCCGCGTGCCCCAGCCCCCAGTCACTGTCACACTTCCCCTATGAGGCCCATCTTGAAGATGCAGCCTGTCACCCAGCTCAGACCTCTGTTTTGCTTGATGTTTACTTCTCGTTCAGACGAAAATAAAGCCTTTTTTCAGGACCAGCTGTGGGCCCTCTTAAGGGCTTGAGTTCAGAAGGTTTGTACCAGCATAGCTGCACATTAAAATATCATAAACCTCGCTGGGCACTGTAGCTTATGCCTGTAATCCCAGCACTTTGGGAGGCGGAAGCAGGCAGATCACTTGAGGTCAGGAGTTTGAGACCAGCCTGGCCCACATGGTGAAAACCTGCAACCCTGTCTCTACTAAAAATACAAAAAATTAGCTGGGCATGGTGGTGCATGACTGTAATTCCAACTACTTGGGAGGCTGAGACAGGATAATCCCCTGAACCTGGGAGGCAGAAGTTGCAGTGAGCCAAGATTGCGCCACTGCATTCCAGCCTGGGCAACAGACTGAGACTCCCGACTCAACAAAACAATAAATAAAATATCAAAAGCTTTCTAGGCCACCTGTTAAATAGTGGCTTCTCTGTGTGCCTGTTGGCTGAGCCCCTCCCCAGGGTGCCCCAGACCTCCCTGTGGTCCAGCAGGATCCTCCACAATCCAGGCCCATTGCTATGGCCCACCATCTGCTCTGATTATTTAGTGTTAAGTATTTTGAATGTCAACACCTATCTAATGTCTTAAAGAGGGGACCCTGGAGATGTCAGGATTCTTATTTTAGTTGCAAGTAGCAAGTATTTCCCTCAAATGGTCTACATGAAAATGGTAATTTACAGGCTTCAGGTACAGTTTGATCCAGTAGTCCCCAAGGTCCACAGGATTCAGCCTTCATTTCTCTGTAGTTTTTTCTTCTCTGTCCTCCTCTGAGTGCAGTCTCTGACCTCAGGACAACTCCTCTCACCATCTGAGGCTAGTTATGCAGTCCATAATCTGGATGGATGCATAGTTACCGATGAATTGACAGATGGAGGCATGAAGGCAGGAGGAAATAAATGAGTAAAAAAATACCCTGTTGCATGGTAGGCATTCGGTCAGCATTACTGGATGAATGAATGAAGGAGCGAATGAGGAAAGGTATGAGACTATGCCTAGTTGGTGCTCACTCAGAGTGTTGGGGTGGAGGAATAAATTGGGATTGGCATCGACTAGGCATGGTTGGTAGCACAAAAACCTAATGAAACTTGACAATAACAAGAGTTGGCAACACTCATGTGTGTAAGGTCTGTTGGCTAAGGTTGTTTCCACCACCAAGATTCTATTGAGTCACCTCGTGGTCCAGATGAACACATCATAATCCTGTATCAGCCAAGTCAACATGTGATTTGAATATCACCATCTGCATTTCCAGCCAAGATAAAGTGACAGAGACTGGATTTCCCCTCATACTTGAAACTATTTATTTATTTTTGAGATGGAGTCTTGCTCTGTCACCCAGGCTGGAGTGCAGTGGTGCTATCTCGGCTCACTGCAACCTCTGCCTCCTGGGTTCAAGCGATTCTCCTGCCTCAGCCTCCCAAGTGGCTGGGACTACAGACGCATGACACCATGTCCAGCTGATTTTTTGTATTTTTAGTAGAGACAGGGTTTCTTTTTTTTTTTTTTTTTTGAGACGGAGTCTTGCTCTGTCGCCCAGGCTGGAGATCTCAGCTCACTGCAAGCTCCGCCTCCCGGGTTTACGCCATTCTCCTGCCTCAGCCTCCCGAGTAGCTGGGACTACAGGCGCCGCCACCGCGCCCCGCTAAGTTTTTGTATTTTTAGTAGAGACGGGGTTTCACCGTGTTAGCCAGGATGGTCTCGATCTCCTGACCTCGTGATCCGCCCGTCTCGGCCTCCCAAAGTGCTGGGATTACAGGCTTGAGCCACCACACCCGGCAGTAGAGACAGGGTTTCACCGTGTTAGCCAGGCTGGTCTCGATCTCCCGACCTCGTGATCCATCCACCTCAGCCTCCCGAAGTACTGGGATTACAGGCGTGAGCCACCTGGCCCGGCCGTATCATCGTGGTTTTTTGTTTTTTTTTTTGTTTTTGTTATTTTTTAGATGGAGTTTTGCTCTTGTTGCCTAGACTGGAGGGCAATGGTGCGATCCTGGCTCACTGCAACCTCCGCCTCCCAAGTGCAAGTGATTCTCCTGTCTCAGGCTCCCGAATGAGTAACTGGGATTACAGGCACCCACCACCATGCCTGGATAGATAATTTTTCGTATTTGTAGTAGAGATGGAGTTTCACCATGTTGGCCAAGCTGGTCTCAAACTCCTGACCTCGGGTGATCCACCCACTTCAGCCTCCCAAAGTGCTGAGATTACAGGCGTGAGCCACCGTGCCCGGCCAACAAATATTTATTGACTGTCGACTAATATTTGCCAAGCACTGAGATACTGGGAATTCAGTGGTGAAGGAAATCGTCCTGCCTCCATGGAGATGACATTCTAAACAGTGGAGACAGAGAGTGAGAGCCCGGCTTGAGAAAAACGTGCTGTCCAGGCGCAGTGGCTCATACCTGTGAATTCCAACACTTTGAGAGGTCAAGGCAGGAAGATCGCTTGAGCTCAGGAGTTCGAGACCAACCTGGGCAGTATGAGTCTCTACAAAAAATGTAAAATAAAATTTTTTTAAAAAGAGAGAAAAAGCGATGTTGAATGTTCAGGTGTAATATCAATCAATGGAGGAAGGAGAAGTTGGTATAAGAAGCTGTGAATACTGGCCAGGCAAGGTGGCTCATGCCTGTAATCCCAGCACTTTGGGAGGCCGGGGCCCGGGGAATTACTTGAGTTCAGGAGTTGGAGACCAGCCTGACCAACATGGTGGAACCCGGGCTCTACTGAAAATACGAAAATTAACTGTATGTGGTGGCACGCGCCTGTAATCCCAGCTACTTGGGAGGCTGGGGCAGAAGAATCACTTGAATCCAGGAGGCGGAGGATGCAGTGAGCCAAGATCGCTCCATTCATTGCACTCCAGCCTGGGCAGCAAGAGCTAAATTCCGTCTCAAAAAAAAAAAAAAAAAAAAAAATTGTGAATCCTTCATTTACATATGATATTTAAAGCCATAGAGCTGGATGAGTTTTGTAACTAGTTCGTTCATATAAGCTTGGGAAAAAGATGTGGAAGGATGCATTGAAAAAGAGACTGGAGGCCGGGCACGGTGGCTCAAGCCTGTAATCCCAGCACTTTGGGAGGCCGAGACGGGTGGATCACGAGGTCAGGAGATCGAGACCAGCCTGGCTAACACGGTGAAACCCCATCTCTACCAAAAAAATACAAAAAACTAGCCGGGCAAAGTGGCGGGTGCCTGTAGTCCCAGCTACTCGGGAGGCGGATCTTGCAGTGAGCTGAGATCCGGCCACTGCACTCCAGCCTGGGCGACTGAGCGAGACTCCGTCTCAAAAAAAAAAAAAAAAAAAAAGAAAAAGAGACTGGAGAGGGAGCCCCAGGTATACATCCTAGCTGTTAGTCCGTTGGAAGGTTACCCGGCCTCTCTGTTTATAAAATGAGTAAAACACAGCTCTTCAAACGGCACGACATCGCCACCTATTGGCTGGAGACGCTGCTCCGAAGGCGGAACCTTCAGGACAGCTACGTAGCGTTCCGAACACTCAGACTGAAGCCAGGGCAGCCATGTTCATTACTGGAACCGTGAGGTCGGTGGGGCGGGAGGGCGGCGTTGAGACAGCTGTCATTTTCAGTTAGGGCAAAAGCCGACTTCCGGTCACCATCTTGAGTGACGACAGAGGCGGAGCTCCAACTGACATGTTCATTAAGGGCAGGGCTCCGAGGGCGCCACCTCGAGAGCGACAGCGGGCTACCCGTGGCGGGCGGAGGCAGGTTGTAGCCCCGCCCCGGGCCTTGGGCTCCACCTCTCGGCCCCACTTCCGCCGGGCGAGCGTCTGTAGGCGGCGTTGCCGTAAATCGGGCGGTCGGCTTGCCGCATCACGCAACATGGCGGCCGCGGCGGTGAACGGGGCGGCAGGCTTCTCGAGCTCGGGGCCCGCGGCGACCTCGGGCGCTGTCCTACAAGCCGCGACCGGCATGTACGAGCAACTCAAGGGCGAGTGGAATCGTAAAAGCCCCAATCTTAGCAAGTGCGGGGAAGAGCTGGGCCGGCTAAAGGTAAGGTTGGCAGGCCCAGGAAACCGAGTGTTGCGGGCGTGGGGGGCGCTACGAGGTGTCTGGACCCAACCAAGTCCCGGGCCGCGGAATACACCTCGGTGCCAGCGAGACTGAGGCGGGCTGGGGGATCCGACGGGGCGAAAGATTTGGAGCAGCCAAAGTGGCGGCCCGGAGGGGGTCAAGAAGCGAGAGAGGACAGGGCGCGGTGGTTCACGCCTGTAATCGCAGCACTTGGCGGGGGAGCATCACTTAAGCCCAGGAGTTCAAGATCAGCTTGAGCAACAAAGCGAGACTCTTGTCTCTACACTTTTTTTTTTTTTTTTCAGGTGAGAGATGACTGGAATGGACCTACGCGGGCGTGGTGGGGGAATGATGGAAAGACTCGGGATGGCAGAATGAGTGAGGGGTTAGAGTTTTGGTGCTTGGAGGCTTAACCGGTCGGAGTGGCAGGACTGGGGTTCTTTCTTTTCCTGGTGGTGGAGTCCAGGCAAGACCAAGTGGGAAATGAGAACTGCCCAGGATGATAAAAGAATGAGACTGAAAAGGTGGACTGTGTAGAGGGTATGTGGTTAAGACCAGGCTGGGTTAGGATCTGAGAGATCTGGGGCTTAGGCTCCCATCTGTGGGGAGAGGGGGCAGCCTAGTTGTGAAGGCAGGACTGAACCTAGAAGAAATATTCTTACAAGTAGAGAACAAGAATATGGGGCTCAGAGCGCTTGAGACCAAGTATGTGTTGGGAGGGAGTATAAATCCAGTGGCTTGGAACAAGCTGCTGTGTCTGCTAAGGAAAAATGTATGGGCTGAACTGTGTGGGGAGATTTGGACCTCCCCCTCCCAGATACAGATTTTGGGGATAGCCCAGCTACCCCTTCCCCAATAGATGGTGGGGAAGATCAGCCACGAATGGAATGTGCTGGTGTCCCCCCGCCCCCCACCGTGTGATTCCACTGGGTCAGGCACTGAGTGTCCCTCCTTGTTTCCCCAGTGG